AGGCAATCTTCTGGAGTTGTGCAACAGTCAGGCCTGAGGGTGATCACTGGGCCCAAGGTTGATGCGTTGTCCCTGGGATACTCAATATGTCTCACGGGCGCCAACCCTCCCTACCCTGTCTGCCTCACTTCTCCTTCCCAACCTTGGTGGCATCTTTGGTATACCTGGGTGATCTGGAACCTACCTCCTGGGCTCAGATGGACCTGTCATTGGATCATTCCACAGGGACCATGACCTGTCTGATGTTGTCTGCCCAGTGATTGGTACCAGGTCCCCTAGGAGACAGAAATGAGAGTAGGTCGTTCCTGTGCCCTGGGAGAGGCGACATCAGGGCTTCACTCAATGAGAACAGTACTAGAGCAACGTGGAAGAAGTATTTCCTGTGCTTTTTTGTTTTGTTTTTGAGACAAGTTCTCAAACTTGCCATGAAGTGTGCACATTTGAATGCTGAGGTTATAACACATCATCACACCAGGGATTCTGCCATTGCTAGGAACGGAGCCCAGGACTTCATGTGTACCAGGCAAGCACTCTGCCAGATGAACATGGAAGTTTTCTGACTTTAGGAGACAGGCCTCACACAGCCAACACTGACCTTGAACTCCTGATCCTTGGCTTCCCAGGAATTACAGGAGCACCCCAGCATGCTCGTGGCTAGTCTGTGTTTGGAAGTTGGAGTTGGGCAACCACCAGCATTCATGGTCACCCCATCAAGTAGAGCCCCTGACGGGGTTGGGGGAGGGAGGACTTTGGAGAAACTCCAGTCTTTCTGGGCATTTCAGAACATGGGATCTCCTACAGCTGCCTCAATTTCTTCTAAACCAGCCACCCTGGTTTGCCTGCCTCCAGGCAGCCTTGCTCTGCCTGTGTGTCTCTAACACAGGAGGCTCAAGGGCATGTGGAGGGGAAGGGCAAACCTTTTTCTGTCTCCCATCCCTGATCTCTGGCTGCCAAGGCTAACAAGGGTCCCTCTTCTCCTTTCCTAGTGGTTCTCTGAGACTCCTTGCACTTCTATGGTGAGTTTGGTGGTCTATTTACTTACTTAGGTTTTTCAAGACAGGATTTCTCTGTGTAGCTTTGAAGCCTTTCCTGGCACTTGCTCTGTAGACCCAGCTGGCCTCCAACTCACAGAGATCTGCCTGCCTCTGCCTTCTGAGTGCTGGAATTAAAGGCGTGAGCCACCACCGCCCGCCTTGCTTTTTTGGCCTTTTTGTAAATCAACTTGAGTTGGTCATTTCGTTAGTGTTGCGGCCAGAGGAAGGCAGCAGCTTCCAGTAGTTAAGCTGGCTGAACACCTGGTTGCCTGCTGGCGCCTGGTTCTGCTTCAGAAGCCTGCATGTGCACAAGTGCCTTGGCCTTGGCCCAAGCATCTTCATTAAAAAACAGGGAAAACAGTGTAGCCTTTGAAGCAGGATTGGGAGGGGGCCGTTAGGACAGTGTCGGGTACGCTTTGTTCCAAAGTGGGCAGCCAGGGCCGTGTGGCTCCTTGTCTCCCGACACTTTTCCGTGTGATGGCCGACACTTTTCCGTGTGATGGATGAGGAAAGAGCCCAGAGCCTCTCTGTGTGAGGCAAACACCAACAGAGCCTTGTTCCTTCAGACGGGGTCTTGCTATGTAGCCCAGGCTGACCTCGGGCTCAATGAACAACTAAACAAGCAAACAAAAAAACCTGTCTGCGTGTATGTATGTGCATGCAATTCCCTCTGGCGTCAGAAGAGGGCACTGGAACTCTGAGCTGGTGTTGTGAACAGCCATGTAGGCGCTGGGAACCGAACTCAGGTCTTCCATAAGGCAACGAGGACTCTTAAACGCTGAATCACCTCTCCAGCCCTGTGGCACAGGTTCTCATTCTAGAGATGGGAGGCAGAGACAAGAGCATCCCTGAGGTTCAGCGGCCAGCCAGCCTAGTGGATTCGGGAGCCCCAGGAAAATGAAAACTCAGGGTCTTTCCATCTGGACAGACCACCTGAGGTTGACCTTTGGCCTCCACACACGCACCCCCCTCTGTCCCCACAAACAACCTCAACCAAGCCAAGAACAACAGCAAAGAATTGCACAGGGGACCAGGTGGGGTGGCACGTCTGTCGCCCCAGATGTTTAAGGGACTGAGGGAGGGTTCAAAGTTTGAGGCCGAGCTACATAGTGAATTCAAGGTTCCCTGGGCAACCTGATGAGATCCTGTCTCAAAGTTAACAATAATGGGGGCATAGGACTGTGAACACAGCTGTCAGGGGAGGGCTTACCCAGAATGTATAAGGTCCCGGGTTCAGTCACCAGTATCACAAATAAAGTAGTAGCAATAATAACCAAGAATAAAATACTTGTAGGGCTAGCGGCAGACCCAAAGGCACATTGGGTGGAGACTCCCACTTCTTTCTTTTCTCCGGGATAAGATAAATTCACACCACTCAGCCGACCCAAGGTGAGGCAGGGTGGGCGGACCGGGCTCAGGGTGGACGCCACGCCCACAGGGCTGACACAGAAAGGTCAGGGTCCTGCATCTCTTCCTTTCTTCTTGATGGATGGTCTCTTTGATCCATGAGCTCCAAGGCCGGCGGGATGGTGCCAACTTGAAAACACACTGCTCTGCCCATGGGACCGCGGTAGGGGACTGGAGGCTAATAACGAACGGCTGGGGCCAAGAGCTATAAAAAGCCTTGTCAGGGCCCCTGCACAAGTGTCCCGCCATGGTATTACCTGGGCTGCTGTTGCTGCTGCTGCTGCTAGCTGGCACCCGCTGGCTGTGGGGCCGGTGGAAGCTCCGGAGCCTCCGCCTGCCTCCTCTCGCCCCGGGGTTCCTGCACTTTCTACAGCCTAACCTTCCCACCTACCTGTTTGACCTCACCCAGAAACTCGGGCCTGTCTACAGGATTCGCATGGGACTGCAAGGTGAGCCAATCTGCTCTCTTCTGGTGACCTATCCCTCTCAGCTGACACCTGCTCTTTCCCCCAGATGTGGTCGTTCTGAATTCTAATAGGACCATTAAGGAGGCCCTGATCCAAAAATGGGCTGACTTTGCTGGCCGACCCCAGATACCATATGGTAAGAGTTGGGGGCACGCTTTTTTCTTCTTCTTCACTGTGTAGCCCTGGCTGCCCTGAAAATCTCTTTGTAGACTAGACTAGCCTCAAACTCTCAGAGATACGCCTTCTGTGGCTGCTGCCCTGGCCTACTTCTTGGATGGGGGAGGGTGGAGGCAGGTCAGGCCTTTGGCTTCCTTGGTTAGTTGGCATTCTCTCTTTCTGCCATCCCTCCTGCAGAAAATCTAGACTTGGACCTGTCGTTAGGGGACTACTCGCTAACGTGGAAGGCCCACAAGAAACTCTCTCGCTCAGCTCTAATGCTGGGCGTGCGAGACTCCATGGAGCCCCTGGTAGAGGAGCTGGCCCAGGAATTCTGCGAGGTGAGGCCGTGCTCCTGTGGCCTGGACCTCCCCGGGTCAGCGTCCGTGTCCCCCAGTACCCCTCGGTCCCCACAGCCCGTGTAGCCTGCCTCTTCTCCACAGCGCATGCGCGCGCAGGCTGGCGCCCCCGTGGCCATCCAGAAGGAGTTCTCTTTGCTCACGTGCAGTGTCATCTGCTACCTCACGTTTGGAGACAAGGTCAAGGCTGCCCTCTTGCCCCTCGAGCCCCTCCCTAGGCCCTCCTGACCTTTGCTGGTCCCAAACTCAAAGTATGCTCTCCTCTTCCGGCAGGACGACATTTTGGTACACACGGTTCACAGCTGTGTGCAGGACTTGCTGCAAGCCTGGAGCCACTGGTCCGTCCAAATCTTGGAAATAATTCCCTTTCTCAGGGTGCGGGAGCACATCCCAGACTCTCCTGGGTTGGGGCGGGATTAGGGGGTGGCTGGTCTCCATCCAGAAGCTGACTCCCCTACCTGTCCCAGTTCCTCCCCAATCCGGGCCTCTGGAAGCTGAAGCGGTTCCAGGAGAACAGGGACGATATCGTAAGGGAGCAGCTGAAGCTGCACAAGGTGGGTGCCGCGGGATACCGCGCGAGCACTAATCCCCCCTAGCCTCGGCCAGTGATGTGCCTGCAGCTCCTGCATCACTGCTGGGCAGGCTCCTCAAGCTGGACATTCAGCCTGCTCCTTTCCCTGCCCTCTTCAGGACAGCCTGGTAGCAGGCCAGTGGAAGGACATGCTTGACTACATGCTTCAAGGCGTGGAGCAGCAAAGAGAGGGCACGGATGCCGGGCAGCTCCACGAAGGACACGTGCACATGTCCGTGGTGGACCTCTTCGTCGGGGGCACTGAGACCACAGCCACCACGCTCTCCTGGACTGTGGCTTTCCTGCTTCATCACCCTGAGGTGCATTATGGGAGAGAGTGAGGCTCCTTCCGGCCCCTTGGCCCAGGCCTCTGCCTGGCCTGGGCTCTGCTCACGGGTGCGGGTGCGGGGCTCTAGGTGGCTGGATAAAGGGGCTGCCGGCTGGGCAGCCCTGAGTCACCCAGGGAAAGCTTGGTCCCCAGATCCAGCCCTGTCCCTTCTCAGATCCAGAAGCGACTGCAGGAAGAACTAGACCTCAAGTTGGGCCCCAGTGCCCCCAGCTCCCAGCTCCTGTACAAGAACCGAATGCAGCTGCCTTTGCTCATGGCTACCATCGCTGAGGTGCTGCGCCTGCGGCCCGTGGTGCCCCTGGCCCTGCCCCATCGCACCACTCGGGCTAGCAGGTGACTCCCTGGGTTAAGGGTTGAGTGAGAACCGCCCCCCCCCGCCGCCACCCCAGGGTCCCGGACAGCTTCTGACTCTGCCTTCCCTCAGTATCTCTGGCTATGACATCCCCAAGGACACCATCATCATCCCCAACATCCAAGGCGCCAACCTGGACGAGATGGTCTGGGAACTGCCCGGCCAGTTCTGTCCTGGTACGAGGGAGGGGGAGGGGTCAGGCACGGGAGCGGAAGGGCCCTAGCCTCTGTTGGGACGCACTTCCCGAGCTATCTGTCCACGACCCACAGATCGCTTCCTGGAACCCGGCAAGGACCTCAAAACCCTATCCTTCGGCTGTGGGGCCCGTGTGTGCCTGGGAGAGCCGCTGGCGCGACTGGAGCTCTTCGTGGTCCTGGCGCGCCTGCTCCAGGCCTTCACGCTGCTGCCACCACCAGATGGCACCCTGCCCTCCCTGAAGCCCCAGAATTTCACTGGTGTCAATCTCTTGATTCGTCCTTTCCAGGTGCGGCTGCAGCCCAGGAACCTGATGCCCCAAGACCAGGGCCAGAACCCTTGACAGGATAGGACCAGTACCAGCCTCGTGCCTCAGTTTCTCCTTTATTGCTCCGTTACTAACCCCTCCCCTCCCCCCTGTAAACATGGTGCTGTGAGATCGTGGTAGAGAAGGCCTCCTTGGTGAGCTAGGCAGTAGAGGCATACTGGCTCTTCTCTGGCACGGCCCCTCAGTGCTCGGCAGTCATACTGGGGTATGAGCGAGGTGGGAAAAACAGGCTCAGCTGCCCCTGGCGTGGGCCTGGAAGTTTCTGGGTCTCAGCTTCATTTCCGTGAAGGGCACCGAAAACTCGAAGCCCTTCCAGTGGTACCAGCTCACTCCCTGAGGAGAAAGTTGTCGAGGGAGGAGAGTCAAAGCCAGCACTCACCAGTGGCAACTCCTTCATCCCTACCCGGCTCCTGCAGGTGACCCCCGGGGGCCCATCCCTCTCCCTCACATTCCCTGCCTAGCCCTCAGCTGCAAAGGGCTGAGGCTTCATTCTGAGCTGGCGCCTTGTATCCACTAATAAACAGACTTTTCAAGCTTCCTAGGTGAGACTGGTATTACTGTCCCATTTCCCAGATGAGCCTCTGAGGTGCGAGAAGTTCAGTCATTCACGTGAGAGTCCTCCAACCCGAGTGACCCAGAGCCCAGCCTGTACCTCCACGGCCCCCACCTGGTGGTCCACTGTGCTCCCGTAGAGCCCGTTGAGGTTGGCATAGTGACAGTTCTTGTACCACCACGCCCCCCGATAAGAGACAGCGCAGGAGATGAGCAAGTTGTTGGGGTCCCGATCACGGGCGGAAAAGACGCTGCCGCTGTGGTAGCTCATAGAGTCCCCTGGCAAGGCATAGGAAGGTGTGGTGAGGACCGCCCCTGCGCCGGCCATCACCCCGTCCCGGGCTGCCCTCACCCCGTCCCGGGCCCGCCCTCACCTGCGGTGCCATGGTAACCCTCTAGGTGCAGGCGGTAATTCTCCGTTGCGGAATCCACGCGGAAGAAGTCATACTGGGCGAACACAGCTTCCTTTCCAGCTCGCAGGTCCACACGCATGGAGTAGTCTCCAGCCTGCGTCAGGCTGTGTAGGACCTCATTGCCTGGGGTGGAGTATGCTCCATCAGGGTCCTGGGGTCCACAGGACTGCCATCCCTTCCCGGGTTCCCCAGCCCTATGAGGCACGGACCCAGCCAGAATTCCCTGGAGATGTTTCCAAAACCATGGGCATACTCCTCCCAGTCTCTCCAGAAGTCCGTCTGTCCGTCCATGCGGCGCTGGAAGACCTGGAGAGCAGACAAGGGCAGCATTGGCCTTGGCTCCTGGGCATCGGCCCCTGTGCTACCCAGATCCCCGGGCTCTGAACGCAACCCACCAGCCAGCCGCCCCCGTCTGTCTCCATGTCACAGAACACATCCAAAGGCCGCTCGCGGTTGCCGTTGAGGAAGATGGTGGTGGTCTTTGAGGTGCTGGGCCCGTTCTGCATCTCCTCCCCACAGTCCCGGGGGAAGGGGACCTGCAGCCCACCTGTGGAGAGGAGATGGGGAGTCTGTCTGTCCCCAAGTCTCAGACCCCAGCCGCCCGCCTATGCTCAGGCCCAGTGTCAGTACCTGTAGTAAAGGAGGTGGACACAGGGGGCGTGAGGCTCTCGCCCCAAACAGCCCGCAGCTGGGCTCTGTAGAAGGTGGAAGGGAAGAGGCGGAGAAGCCGGTGGGAGGTGGTTCCTGCTGGAAGCAGGATTTCCTGGAGACCGACAAGGGACAGTCAGCAGAGGGTGAGAAGGCCAGAGGGGCACCACCAAATCTAGCTATGGAAAGCGGACGTCCAATGAGGCAGGGCTGGGGTACCTGAATCTGTCCTCCAGGGGTGTCAAAGCTGAGCAGGTAGCCTGTGGGTGGGACTTCGGGCTCAGTCCAAGTGAGCAGGGCCGTGCGAGGGGTCACTTCCTTGGCCTCCAAGTCCTGGGGGGGCTTCAGCCCTGGGGGCGTAGGAAGAGATAGGTGAGCCGTATCTCCTGCCTTGACCCTCCCGTGACCCCTTCCCCACACACCCCCGGCTCTACCTGTGGTGAAGGTAATGCTGGCTGGCGAGGTGAAGTTCGGGCCTCGGAGACCACGCACGGTGGCCGTGTAGTTGGTGTCAACCGCCAGGTCTGTCAGCGGGTAGTCCACGGCGCTGCCGGGTGCTGAGGCCTGCAGGGGTGGGGCTGGGAGTGGGGTGGGCATCAGCTCCTGCCCATCCATGCTGTACCTTGCTCTCCCCACCTCTGCAGAGGAGGTTCAGCCATGCTCACCCCCGGGGGATGCGACCTGGACGTTGTACTCGTCCACGGGTTTGTGGGGGGGTTTCCAGTGCAGAAGAGCAGATCCATTAGTCAAGTTCAGTGCACGCAGCTGGGTGGGGCCATCGGGAACTGGCAGAAACAGGGGCTCAGAGGCTTCCCTGCCACTGTCCCCAGTGTTGACTCTCCCAACTTCACTGCCTCCCCGTGGTCCCTCTGCCCCCTCTTTACCCTGGCCAGCCCTCGTTCCTCTCTCTCTCTCTCTCTCTCTCTCTCTCTCTCTCTCTCTCTCTGCCTGTCATGGTGCCCCTCTTACCTGTCGTGAGGAAGCCTGTGAGAGGCTCACTCTCCTCGAAGCCACGGACGGAGACCACAGTCACCTCGTAGCGAGTGTCTGAGCTCAAGCCCTGGAGGACCTGGGTCTGGGTCCGGCCGTCCACTACTACACTTTGTGGCTCTCCTATGAACATGGGTGGAGCCCGGGGGTCACCCAGGAGGCCTGAGACCAGCTGGAGAATGGGCGGTGTGCAGGGGTGGGGGCGGGCAGGAGCGGAGAGCTAAGGAGGATTTGGCAGGACGGGACCATCACCTCCATCTGCGAGCTGGTAGGAAATTTTGAAGCTGTCCACCCTGGATGGCGGCGGCACCCAGTTGACTCTGGCTGTTGTTTCCCCAATTTCACTGAATTGTAGGTCACGGGGGCTCTCCAGAACTGAAGACAGAGGGAGGGGTGCAGTGAGGAGGGCGTGGGGAAGAAGGTTCCTCCCCCTTCTCCCTGAGTGCTCTGGCTTCAGAGAGGTCCACCATGCCTCTCTGGAAGGTTCCCAGGACAGAAGTCTCTCTCTAATGCCTTCAAGTCCTCTGCCCACTCTCCAGACCCCCGTTACCTGCTGGGTACTACTCTGCAAAGTTCAATGCCCCCTCTTTGGTGCCCAGCGTGGGTCCTCACCTGGGCTGAGGGTGCGGGCAGTGCCCTGAATGCTGTCCGCCTTGTGCGGCCCACGCAGCCCATACAGAGTGAGGCTGTACAGGGTCCCAGGATGCAGGTCCCGAAGCACAGCTGAGCGCTGCGTCCCCGGCACCATCAGCTCTCGCTGCAGCAGAGGACGGAGATGCGGCTCCAGGGTGCTTGGTGAGGGGACCCCAAAGCGTATTAGGAAGGTGTCAAAGGAACCAAGCGGGGCCTCCCAGTTCAGCCGCAGAGAACTAGTGGTCATGTCCGTCACTGACAGCTGGGACAGGCGGGGCCCCGGGACCCCTGGGGTCTGACCAGCAGGAACTGGACCTGTGGGAAGTGGGTTGGAGAAAAAGGTCTGGAGACACAGATATATGCCAGCCCTAAGGCTTGGAGCACGTCACATCTGTCACCCTTCCCTATTGGTCAGAAGAACCCATGAGGAACAGAACCTCAGGTGGGTTCAGTGACTGACTGGGAAGAGAAGGGGCAGTGTAGGGTAAGTGACCTCGACCCTTCCTGGGAGCCTTCCTCATGCCTTCCCTGTGGCAGCCGCTTCTGGATGTCTGCTTCCACCCTTCCTAGCCCCCAGATTAGGAAGGTGCAGGCCGGCCCACCTGTGGTACCCTCTGCAGAGACAGGCCCATGGCGCATCTCTTCACGGAGGCCATAGAGGAAGAACTTGTAGGAGGTGCTGGGCTCCAGGCCTGAGATGAGGACCTTGTCCTGGTGTCCATCAACAAGCAGGGCTTGGGGCTGTCCCTCTGTGTCTTGGTACTGGACCACAAAGGAGTCAAAGGGGCCACGGGCCACACCCCAGGAGAGGCGCAGGGAATCTGGGGTTGCGTCCGTCACTCTCAGCATCCCCAGGCGGGGGGCTTCAGGGGCTTCAGTGGGGCTTGGGGTTGACATGTCCTCTTCTGGGGCTGCACGGGAGAAAGCAGGGTGGGGTCTTTACAGGGTGCTGGGCGCCTGCCCTGCCCATTCTGTCCCCTTCAAAGGAAGGGTTTGAGGCTGGCCTGGGATGAAGACACTTCACAGTCCAGGCAGGTAGCCCAAGTGAGGAGAGGGAGGGAGCAGGCATCTTCTAGAACCTTCCAGTTTTTGAATTTGTTTTACCCCTGCCTTGGTGTTACCTCCTGACACCCAGGAGGCCTCTCTGAGCCCAGCCCCGGGATCTCTGGCCTGGGAAGCTACTGTGCCTGTTGGTCCCTCCTCAGCTGCTTGCTGTTTAGGGACCAGAGACTCCCTGCCTGTTTCCCAGCACCTGGTGCATCAACCCCCTCAGCAGTGGCCCCTCCGGCTCTTCCCTGGCCCCGCTCTTAGTACGGGCACCACGGGCTGGGGTGGCTGGTGTACGTGCCTGGCAAGTCACACTCATGCCCTTGGCCTGGTCCATCTGACGTGGGTGTCAGTGGCCTCTGCCCATTGGATTTCCCGGTGATTTTCCATTTGAGACACACTCCTGGCTCTCGAGAACGGGGCGGGGTGTGTGTGTGTGTGTGTGTGTCCCTATTGGTCAGAAGAACCCATGAGGAACAGAACCTCAGGTGGGTTCAGTGACCGACTGGGAAGAGAAGGGGCAGTGTAGGGGATGGAGCCATTCTAACGGGGTAGTGGGGAGCAGCAGGTGGCGGGGATGACTGGGGTAAGGAGGCCTTTCCTTGCTGCCTTCTCTCAAATGACTGATCAGCCCCAGGGGTGTGCACAGGTCCTCCCTTCTCTGACTCTGGACAGGCCCCTGCCCTTCCCACCATCCTCTCTGGCCAATCTCTTTGTCCTCAGACTCCTCAGGCCTGTGGTCAGGCAGGGCAGCTCACCTGTCACTCCGAGGGCAGAGACAGGCCCCAGGCGCTTTCCTCCAGCCAGCCCATAGAGCAGAAACTTGTACTTCCGGCGTGGCTGCAGACCCTCTATGACGACCTCGTTCTGGTCTGCAGCCACGACCACTGTTTGGGGCTGCCCATCCCTGTCTCTGTACTGGACCAGGAAGGAGTCAAAAGGGCCCTGGGCCACTGTCCACGAGAGGTGCAGAGAGTCAGCGGTCTCTCCTGTCACTGTCAGTTCGCCGAGGCGGGGCTGCGGCGTCTTCTCCAGGGGGGCTGAGGGGAGAATGGGATGATTCAGGTTAGCGTCCTCAGGGCCTGCGTGGTCCTGCTGTGGCGGGCTGAGGGAGAGCCGCCTTGTCTCTGGAGGCACTGCCTAGCCCTTTCCTGCCTGGCGCCTGCTTGCTGCAGTCAGGTCACAGAGGGTCACAGTGAGAGAGGGCTAGTGGTGGGCACAGACTGGTCTTCATTTCCTCTGGACAGGGCTGTGGCCAGAACTGAGGCCCCTGGGGGCATCTGAGTGCCAGAGAGATACTCTCAAGTGGGGAGAGCTCCCCTCAGCCTGGGGCTGCCCCCCATCTCCTACACAGTCCAGAATTAATATCCCGGGACCAGGTGGGGCAAAGAGACGACCTGCCCACGTGAGGGTGGCAGCTGACAAGCCTGTATAATGAAGGTTTTGGGAAGAACTACGGTATCTGAGGGCTCCAGCCCCTGATGTCTGTCTGGGGTGACTGACTCACGGACCTGGGAGTGGGGTGAGGGTCATGGACCCACTCCACCCCTTCCTTGGGGGCTGACTCATGGGCACAAAAACACCAGATTTTTCCATCATCTTCTGCAGCCAGGCCTTCCCATCTCATGGCTCAGGGTTGGGAGGAAGAGGACATGGGTGCCAGCTACCGGTCACCAGCACAGTGGGGAGGCCGTGGTGCAGATGAGGTGGCTCAGCCATGTCACGTGGCTGCCCAAGACTGGATTTGGGTTTGAACCCCGGTTAACCAAACCTAAAAGCTCCTTAGGAAGGAGACGGTGAGTATAAAACGCTCAGACTGTGCCCAGTCCAAGGCAGGACTGGCCTTTCTGTAAAGGCTTTTCCTCTTAGGCTGAGGACAGGACAAGTCTCTGGAAGGCCCTGGGGACGGGAGCTGTGCCAGAGTGGGAGGCAGGGCCCCGGGCTCACCTGTGGTGCCCTCCCTCCACAGAGGCGGGGTCGGGGTCTGGGGCTCACCTGTGGTGCCCTCCCCTCCACAGAAATGGGGCCCAGGCTCACCTGTGGTGCCCTCCCTCCACAGAGGCAGGGCTGGGGCTCACCTGTGGTGCCCTCCCCTCCACAGAGGCAGGGCCCGGACTCACCTGTGGTGCCCTCCACAGAGGCAGGGCCCAGCCGTTTGCGGCCTGCTAGGCCGTAGAGAAGAAACTTGTATTTCCTATTGGGCTCCAGGCCAGGGATGGTGACCTGACGCTGGTCTGCTGCCACGGGCACCACCTGGAGCTGCCCTCCCCTGTCCTTGTACTGGACTAGGAAGGAGTCGAACTCGCCCTCGGGGACAGTCCAGGAGAGACCCACGGAGTTCTGGGTCACGTCTGTCACCGTCAGCTCCCCAAGACGAGGAAGAAGCTTTGTGTCTGCGGATGGAGAGGAGAGGAAGCCACTTAGACTATGTAGTGTACATACCGCAGGGGACAGGGACTGGGGTGGGGGCAGCTGGGGCCCTGCTCTTGGTGGTCAGAGGGGGCAATCGGGCCGCGCTCGGGATAAAAGAGCCTCCAGGAAAGGAAGCAAGTGTGCCCACCCAGTGATGAGGGAGAAGGACGGAGTGAAGGTCTGAATTTGGGTGGACCTCACAAAGAAATGGGTCACCAAACTCCAAGGTCTGGAATGTGGGGAACAGAAACATGAAATTCCAACAGTCGCCACAAGGGGGCAAAGGGTGCTGGGGGTTGCAGGGTCCTCAGTGTTGGGCCCTCACTCACCTGTTTTTGCATCTACGGAAACAGGGCCATGGCGCTTTCCACCCTGGAGTCCAAAGAGGAGAAACTTGTACTTGCGGGCTGGGTCCAAACCTGAGATGGTGACCTCACTCAGGTCTCTGCTCACGGGTACCGTCTGGGGCTGCCCCTGGGCATCCTTGTACTGGACGAGAAAGGAGTCGAAGGGGCCCTGGGCCACGGTCCAAGACAGGCGCACAGTACTGGAAGTCACATCTGCCACAGCCAGGTCCCCCAGACGGGGCTCTATGGGGGGCTCTGTGGGCAGGGGCGCTGCAAAAGAGCAGAGGAGGCTAAGGGGTACAGGCAGAACCCGCTGAGGGGACCAGGCTACCCCCAGGCTGCAGAACAGCTTCTACCCCCTGACCCCAGCCATAGGCAATGGCAGCTGCAGGCAGCTCACACCTAGGAGCCCCTGAACCGCCTATGGCTGGCACAGCGGTTCTCAACCTGTAGGTCGCGACCCCTTTAGCAACCATTTATCTCTAAAAATATTTACGTTATGACTCATAACAGTAGCAAAATTAGCTGGGCGGTGATGGCACACCTTTAATTGGGAGGAGGCAGAGGAATGCAAATCTCTGTGAGTTTGAGGCTAGCCTGGTCTACAGAGAGAGTTTCAGGACAGCCAGGGTTACACAGTGAAACCCTGTCTTGAAAGGCCAAATAATAAAACAAGTAGCAAAATTACAGTTGTGAAGTAGTAATGAAAATAATTTCATGATTGGGGGTCACCACAGCATGAGGAACTGTATTGAAAGGTTGCAGGACAGGCTGGAGAGATGGCTCAGTGGTTAAGAGCACTGGCTACTCTTCCAGAGGTCCTGAGTTCAATTCCCAACATCCACATGGTGGCTCACAACCATCTGTAGTGGGATAGGTGGCCTCTTCTGGCATGCAGGCATATATGTAAGCAAAGTACTCTTTGTTTGTTTGTTTGTTTTTGAGACAGGGTTTCTCTGTAGTTTTGGAGCCTGTCCTGGAACTCGCTCTGTAGACCAGACTGGTCTCAAACTCACAGAAATCCACCTGCCTCTGCCTCCCGAGTGCTGAGATTAAAGGTGTGCGCCACCACGGCCCGGCCATAAATAAACATTTAAAAAATAAATAAAAGGTCACAACACTGCGAAGGTTGAGAACCTCTGATTTAGCAGATGCCATTGTGATTGTTCCCCCACTGCCGGAGCTGCCACTGTGTTAAAAAATGCTTGTAAAACCCCACAGTCCAGCTGGAGGTGATTCAGACCCAAGTAGCCCAGATCCGGAGCCTGTTGTGAAACACCAAATACCCGGAGAGGGAGCCAAGGTGGGAGGAATGAGTGGGGTTCTGGAGTGGGGGAAGGAGGGACCGTGAGGACAGCTCCGAGGACGGCTGCGCTGACCCTCCCTTCATTCTAGGTGAGGGGGTCAGAAGCTTAGTGAAGCCCCAGAGACAGCTGGGAAGAAGGGGGAATAGAGGGCAGGGCGGAGAAGGGAGGAGCCGCGGAAGGCAAGAGCAAACACAGACCCCAGCCAACTCACCCGTCACACCCACAGTGGACACGGGGCCCACACGCTGACCATCATGGAGTCCATACAGGTTCATCTTGTATTTGCGCCCAGGCTCCAGGTCTCTCACGATGGCCTCCCTCTCCTGGCCCCCAACACGCACCACCTGGGGCCGCCCATCACTGTCCTTGTACTGGACACTGAAGGAGTCAAAGTCTCCCTGGGGGACGGTCCAGGAGAGGCTCAGGGAGTCTGGGGACGATGCTGTGACAGTCAGGTCTCCCAGGAGCGGCTCCTCAGGGGGCTCTGGGGCCTCTGTGCTGGGCTCTGTGGGGCTGGGGGTCTCTTCCTCTGCAGCTGAGAAGGGAACAGACAGGTGAGCAGGGTCCCCGCAGGTGTCCTTGGTTCTTGAGGAGAAGCTATGGCTACAGGGAGGTCCCAATGCCAGTACAAAAGCAACCCCCTTGGGGCCTGGTGTCCCTGGTCAGCTGACAGCTGGCCAACACGCCCAAACTCCTGGGTCAGCTGAGGGGACCTGGACACCAGCACAGCAAAGCTGTCTGTGGCCCTGCTGCCCAGGGAGACTGGCCAGCCCAGAAGAAGGCACACAAAAGAGACCTTAGCGTTAGCAACGCAGGTCTGTGGGGCTGAGCAGATCTGGGGTACTAACAGCACCCAGCCACCGATCCCTACCCAGCTGTCACCAAATAGTTTGAGTGTCCCCCTCCCAGTGGGTCCCACCCTGGACTCCCATGTCCACTCACCTGTCACCCCGACAGCAGACACGGGGCCCACACGCTGGCCACTGTGGATGCCATACAGGTTCATCTTGTACTTGTGGTCTGGCTCCAGGCCGGGGATGGTGACCTGGTCCTCGTGCCCTGGCACCCGCACCACCTTGGGCTGCCCATCCCCATTCTTGTACTGGATCACGAACTGGTCAAATTGTCCTTCAGGGACTGTCCAGGAGAGGCTCAGGGAGTCAGGGGTGGCGTCTGTGACAGACAGCTCTCCTAGACGTGGCTTCTTAGGAGGAGGCTCAGGAGTTGTGGTGGGCACCAGCTGTGTGGTTATAACTTCCTCCTCTGGAGCTGAACACACAAACACACAAATTCAGGCCTTCTCTGTGCTCAGTTAAAATATAAATAAACATTTATTAAAAACAAAGTTCCCATCCACAGTTCGACCATGGCTTGCCTTTTCTGTTCCTTCTACACTGCCATTCCGAGCATCCCGCCCAGACACCTGCCAACACCCATGTGACTGCTCCCCTCCCTCCCGCACTTGCCTCTTTTGAACATGCTCCACAGAGCCACTACCCTGGGCCTCCCTGCCCTGGCTCTCCTTGCTGTCTGCTTCCTCCCTCGCTGGACTTAGATCTTTACCCCAGCTAGGTCTGGAAACCTCCTCCCTGAGGCTGCGTCCCAGCTGCTAGTGAGCTCAGTGCACTCCAGCCTCTCACTATGTCCCTCTTGGGTGCCTCACACTCACCCACCCACCTCTTCTATCACAGAACCTGGGCCACCATCTCCTCTCACTTGGGTGTTGACCCCGGTCTGACCTCCCTGTCTTCAGGCTCACTTCACCTCTCCCCGCAAAGCGGTTGTGCTTCATGAGGAAGCCAGGCTTTGAAGGAGGACTTCCAACGGCAGCAAGGAACTGGACGCCCAGTCCTGTGTGGAATCCCGAGCTTCTGAGCAGCCCCCGCCTCTCCATTAACCTCTCAAGACCACCCTGCTTCCCAGAGGGCATCTCACAAAATCTCTGTTCCTTGTGGACCAGCTTCTTTCTAACCTTCTGTTCTTTACACAGCGGGATCATTGACCTATAACTGTTCTCTCTGCCCTGTCACCAAGCCAACGCTTGTTCGACCTCAGGTCTCAGTGGCCTTATGAGAAAGTTGGTTTAGATGTCCCCTCAGGTACTGTTCTGGCCCCTAGGGGTCCCATGTTGTGGGCCCTTGGCAGAACTTAGGCCTTCTGCCTGTCACCCTGACTGTGAAGTCCATGCTAACACAGCTGGTTTTTCAAAGCCCCAGCCTGACGGAGACCAGCAGCCCAGACTCCTGTGGTCTGTCAGGCTCTGTCAGCTCAGAGCCGTCCTAGCATAGCTCTGTCTTATGTAATCACACCAAACATAGACAACGGCACAGAACACAGACACCAGACAAGGCCACCTGGTACCAAGATGGCAAGCTTGGAATCCTATGCCCACAAAGACACGCTTGACCATTTGCTACAAAACAACCAAACAGCCCTCGTCCAGGTAGTGAGGGATTTCTGCCTCTTCCTCTGGCTTTGTGGGCCCGCAAAACACCTTCCCCAGACAGAGCTCAGCAAACTCACGAGTGATGGAGGCTCTACGGGTAGCATCGTTCAGAGCTGAACTCCCCTTGCTAAGGCTTCTGTACCCCCAACTAACTTAGCAGCTGCTCTCTAAGCCCAGAGTCCTCCACAGCCCAGCACCCCCAAGTGTTGACCCATAGTTCATTCCAGGTGAGCCTTGGGGAGGTTGGTTCCCCAGCTGACGCCCCTAAAACCCCAGTTCATACTCACCGGTCACACCCACGGTGGACACGGGGCCCACACGCTGACCATCATGGAGTCCATACAGGTTCATCTTGTATTTGCGCCCAGGCTCCAGGTCTCTCACGATGGCCTCCCTCTCCTGGCCCCCAACACGCACCACCTGGGGCCGCCCATCACTGTCCTTGTACTGGACACTGAAGGAGTCAAAGTCTCCCTGGGGGACGGTCCAGGAGAGGCTCAGGGAGTCTGGGGACGATGCTGTGACAGTCAGGTCTCCCAGGAGCGGCTCCTCAGGGGGCTCTGGGGCCTCTGTGCTGGGCTCTGTGGGGCTGGGGGTCTCTTCCTCTGCAGCTGAGAAGGGAACAGACAGGTGAGCAGGGTCCCCGCAGGTGTCCTCAAATGAGGACAGAGTAGCCATAGTTACCAAGGTGGGGTCCTGGTCAGCTGACAGATGGACATCATGCCCAAGCTCCTGGGTCAGCTGGGGGACCTGGACACCAGCACAGCAAAGCTGTCTGTGGCCCTGCTGCCCAGGGAGACTGGCCAGCCCAAGGGGAAGGCATACAATAGTAAGCCATAGCTTCGACCAGAACAGACCTGGGGGACTGACCAGTCCTTGGCCACCATTCCCCAGTCACTAGTCTCCAAAGAGCTGGAGGTCCTGTTTCCTGATGGGTCCCACCCTGAGGCTCCCATGTCCACTTACCTGTCACCCCGACAACAGACACGGGGCCCACACGCTGGCCACTGTGGATGCCATACAGGTTCATCTTGTACTTGTGGTCTGGCTCCAGGCCGGGGATGGTGACCTGGTCCTCGTGCCCTGGCACCCGCACCACCTTGGGCTGCCCATCCCCGTTCTTGTACTGGATCACGAATTGGTCAAACTGTCCTTCGGGGACTGTCCAGGAGAGGCTCAGGGAGTCAGGGGTGGCGTCTGTCACGGTCAGCTCGCCCAGGCTGGGTTTCTTAGGGGTTGTGGTGGGCACTGCCTGTGTGGTCATGGTCTTCTCCTCTGGATCTGGACACACACACAGAGGGTGGGCTATGTCTTCCCTGTCCTCAGTATCCACACAAAGGGGCTTTTATAAAAATGAAGCCCTGAAGACTTCTGGCGGAAGTGACACTGGCCGCAGAGATCACTACGTATCTTCCGTGTCTTCTCCACTGCCATTCTTGGCACCCTGCCTAGGTTTCCCCCCCTCTATCCACCAACAGGAATTCTCCCCTTCCTCTACCCTCTACCATGTGTGCGCAGGCCCCACATGGCCACTGCCCTGGCCTTCCCTGCGCTGGATCCCTTTGCCATTTCCTTCCTCACGGGCTTCAGGACTTTGCTCAGAATGTGCTAGACACCTGACCCGCCCCCTCTCAGACGCCATCTTTTGGGATGAGTTGTTGGAGGTCTCTGGCTGGAGACAGCTGACTCTCAGCTCTCCGGTGTCCAGGACGGGGGACAGGGTTCTTTGTGGAAGGAATGAGTTGATGCATGGGAATAAAGTTGAAAATTGCAGCAATAAACAAATAAATAAAAATGAAACGAATAAAGTGGGTTTTTAGGTGCACAGTGAGAACGCTAGCCTCCTCGCTGTTCCCTCATGGGTGGATGTACCCTGCACAGACAGAGTCTCTGTGAGGAGCCAGAGGCAGTCACAGGCTCAGCAACAAGTTCCGAGGCTGTGCCTCGGCTGTGGGGTTTTTACCACCAGCACAGTTCTCGGGGTCCTGTGAGGAACAGAATAACAGGTTCTGGATGCACAGCTGGGTCTGGTCTGGTTCATAGGTGGCAGTTCCCTCCCATCTAAGACGTGCCTTCAAGTCTCTCTCAGGAAGTTCCTGAAGCTTAGAAGGCTTACAAGGCCTCAGCATGGCCACAGAAGCACGAATGTGGAGAGGAGGGATTCTCAGCAGGCACCACGTCCCGCGAGTGACGCAGGTGAACACATCGCTGAGCTAGACGTGGCTGGGGTTGTTGCTTGGGTCTGATTTCAGTGACCATATGGCATGAATAGACAGATGTTCAATTCTCCTCAAGAAAGTCAGCCAACATGATTGGCACTGGGATATGAACTAACAGAAGCGAAGGCAAGCTAGGGAGGAGAGGGGACGTGACCACGGCAACAGATGCTGAGGCCGGCACCTAGGGTCTGCAGGGTGACCTGGATACGGCCACCTCTTTCCTTCTTGCTGCAGCGATGGCTTCATGCTCCCTGCTATAGGAGATTGCACATGCAACCCAAGCCAGGCCACCTGAGAATGTCCAAGTGAGGATCTTGGGGTGTCCATTTTCCTAAACTGGATATGGTTGGTTAATGGTTTATACTACACAAATATAAGAATGTCTCCAAAACAGCAAATGGACTAGAGGGTGTATTCCAGTCCCTAAGAGTAGCATGGATAGACGAGATGACAAGCAAGCTATGGTGGCCGCTGTGTGGCCTTTGCTGTGGGCAAAGAATTTAAACGGAAACTCAGCTGCCTTCTTAGAAAGAACTTGCCCACACGAGCGAGGAATTGCAGCAGGGGAGGGTCATAGGGATGCCATCTGCTCATTGGCCTCTGGGTTGGGGAAGGGGAAGTAGGGACAAGAAGACTAGAAGGGGTATCTGCTCGCTGTGTCCTAGAGCTGGCAGGCTGCAAGGTAAAGAGAGTGCAGATTAAACACACTTTAAAAAGCCCGTCCTAGGATCAAACTATTGGAACCCTTGGTAACTGGGTAACTAAGGGGGAGGGAAGGATGGAAGACGACAGACTTTATGTCAGACCGAGAGGGAAAGAGGAGCAAATCCAGGATTCAGTTGCAGACAGGGTGTGAGTAACAAGTGAGTATGGGAATCTGCGCTGTTCAGGGCACACGCGGTATCTGAGCAGCGTGGACCGGGAAAGGCTTTTAAGCTGAAAATAACGAAGGAGCCTCGGACAGCCTTGCTTGTGCGGCTGTGAAATAGAGGCAGATGGGATTAATCTGAGAGGAGAAGGAGAAACTGTCATAAGGGCCCATTCCTCCTCGAGACAAAGACTGCATAACCCAAGGCAAAATGGGGAAGATCCATCCCTCATATGAAATGGCCCATATGAGCCATTGGGGACACTTCGTCCCATAAATATAAGGGCTTAAAGACCACAGAGGGGAGAAGGTGTGGCTGGAGGGAACTGGGAATGAGAGAGGCTATGCAGATGCCCAGTTTATGAAGTCAGACAAAATCATACACCCAGGAATGCTAAGAAAGAGATCTGTAGCCAGATGTGATGGTATGTGCCTTTGTCTTCAATCCTGGTGCTGGAGAAGCAGAGGCAGGTGGATCTCTGTGAGTCTGAGGCTAGTCAGGTCTATATAGCAAGTTCGGGACCAGCCAGAGCTATACAGTGCTTCAGAGACTTGCTGGGACCGGGGTGGGATGTGACCTTCATGGCTCAGAATCTCTGGGAGCTCAGAATGACTCTGAATGGTATGTAAACTCTTTATAAAATGCAGAAGCAATTGAGAGGGGGTGAGAGGAAGGAAAGGCAGACTAAAGGATTTGTCCCGGTCACTCAAAGGGAAACGTGACAAGATTAGCGTACAGACAGTTCCCACAAGGAAATGAGCAGAATGCCAAATGCTGTGGGAGCAGCTTTCTGATAGGCTCTACAGCCCAAGCAACAGCTCCCAGAAGACAGAAATCATAGGACAATGCAGATTTCAAAGGTTAAACTTGGGGCTGGAGAGATGACTTAGTGGTTAAGAGCACTGGCTGCTCTTCCAGAGGTCCTGAGCTCAATTCCCAGCCACCAGAAGGTGGCTCATAGCCATCTGTAATGGGATCAGGTACCTTCTGGTGCACATGAAGACAGAACACTCAGATGTAACATACGTGAATAAACAAAAGGTTGAACTTGACCTAGGGGTGGACAATTATCACCTCCAGAGCATACATGCACTTTTCTCCCTGCGAGAAAGTATGGATCCATGCGAGGGACAGAGATTAAAGGCCACATGATGGCTGGAAGCCTATCGGAACTGGAGACCCAGCTCCAATGGCAGGCGTGGTAGGTTAGAGTGCATGGGCCTAGCCGGGTCCTTCAGGAACATCCAGGGCAAAGAGATACACAGTGTTCGTAAAGAAACAGCAGCATCCTGGTATGAGGAGGAGGATGGTTCGTGGAAAGCATCTCTGTGTTGTGGGAGGCTAGACAGGACAATGTGCACTCCATCTATGCCCCGTATTCAATTCCCTCTCTCGGGATAACAACTGGTGGAGACGATGGGATCTTTGTGTACCTGAGCGTTGGCAATGTTTCTTTATTGGTAGCACCTTTGCTCTGGATCTCAAGTCCAGTTTCATGTTCATTTGGAATGGCTAACCACAGATCTTCAGAGCACACCCCAGGGCTGTCTTCATAGCCCTACATTTTGTCATGGGATGGGTCTGGGACCCTGCATTGTTATTCTGTCCACCTCTGGGAAAGCATTTGATGACAGAGATGGGATCATGCTAATCTCTGAATATTTTAAGTATCTGTAAAATCATCTGAAGAACAGGAAGGAATGAATTAAAGAGCCTAAAGGAAGGTGCCCTCTATGAATGGGAGGGGGCACTGCCAAAGCTATAAGTTGTGTAAGAGTCTGATGTGAGGAGTGGGCTATGATTCTATGAGTTCTTCAGACTAAGGAGGCCCCCGAGGTCCCACAAATCATAAAGCTATGGAAAACGCTGTTGGTTGCAACACTAAACTCAGTGGTGAATCCCTATTGCGGAAGACCCTGCACACTTGCTGCACGCTGCACACCTGCTGCACCCTGCACACTTGCTGCACCCTGCACGCCTGCTGTGCACCTGCTGCACCCTGCACACTTGCTGCACACTGCACACTTGCTGCACCCTGCACACTTGCTGCACCCTGCACACTTGCTGCACACTGCACACTTGCTGCACACTGCACACCTGCTGCACCCTGCACACCTGCTGTGCACCTGCTACACCCTGCACACTTGCTGCACCCTGCACACTGCACACTTGCTGCACACTGCACACTTGCTGCACCCTACACACCTGCTGTGCACCTGCTGCACCCTGCACACTTGCTGCACCCTGCACACTTGCTGCACACTGCACACTTGCTGCACACTGCACACTTGCTGCAGAACATGGAGAAATCAGACTGAGACTCCATTGGAAGCTCCCTTCTTTTGGCTGGCATTTGTATTCCTGACAGGCACCATGCAGGCTGATGTGGGAAATCCTCACCAACAGTCCTGCTTGTCTATGAACCCCGAATACTAGAGAACCATTATTGCAGGCAAGATGAGACCCCTGGAACAATGTGGCACAAGCATTATGGGAACAATAATTAGACTTCAAGTCTGCTTCCCGGGAGGGAACTCACGTCTTGTGCTGTAAACCAGGGCAAAAGCCTGGGGCTGGAGAAGACATAGGCTCCGATGGGGAGGCAACAACTACTGCTTTATTAAATGGATATGATATACCTATCGAATTCCCTTCTAAACATCTGTGTCTGCGTCCGTGGATTGTTGCCGCTACCAACACCAATTAATCATGCAAGGAACTTATTCCTTGCAGTTAGAGGTATACCGTATACCATGGGGTCTCATAACTGGTGAAATTACTGTCACTAGATAGCGGCTATGTCGTCATGGTCCAATACTCAGCAAAAGAAGAATGAAAACAACGAAGCATTTCTATCCTCTACTCCCAAGGCTCAGGGAACACTGCAGAAAGCGGAAAAATCTAAAGGCCAGAGGAAGGAACACAGCATTGTGCTGCTGTTTCTCAAGACCTGAAGCATTCCCTATTGGCGAAAAGCTCAGTAGAACTCAGGAAGTGGCCAGGTGTGGTGTTGTGTGCCTTTAATTCCAGTACTGGAGAGGCAGAGGCAGGCAGATCTCTGTGAGTTCCAGGTCAACCTGGGCTACATAGTGAGTCACAAGACAGCATAGCATGGCTATATACAGAGGCCCTGTTTCAAAAACAAAACACCTGGAAAGCAATGGGAGCTTAAAAGGCTCAGGAAGCAACTCACAAGCCTCAGGGAGCTCCTGAAACTTACAAAGTTCACAACGTCTGTCCCAACATTAGCTAAACATTAGCAGCTCCTTGCAGAGAGCTAGAGAAGGCTCCAATGATAGATCTTTCCTGAGCCATTATCCACATCGAGGTCAGCTTTTATGTAATACACCTGCATTTGAGTCACCCATGTTTCTGCAAGTAAACCTTCACCCATATTCTTATAAGTAACTCTAACGAACTCATGATTCAGTATGCCAGACTTGTGTGGAATACCTTGCTTGTTGTTTGTGCCCTATGTAGACTGAACAGCATTTAATATATATGATATATATCATATATATATATATATATCATCTTATATATCAACCTCCAGAAAAGTGAGGTGCTCACACAGCCTTGCTACTTTGAGAACAAGAGTTACCACAAAGATGGTAGAAAAAGGAATGAGAATGAGTCATCCCACACAGACCCATCTGACATTCACTCACCCGTCACGCCCACGGTGGACATGGGGCCCACACGCTGGCCATCATGGAGTCCATACAGGTTCATCTTGTATTTGCGCCCAGGCTCCAGGTCTCTCACGATGGCCTCCCTCTCCTGGCCCCCAACACGCACCACCTGGGGCCGCCCATCACTGTCCTTGTACTGGACACTGAAGGAATCAAAGTCTCCCTGGGGGACGGTCCAGGAGAGGCTCAGGGAGTCTGGGGACGATGCTGTGACAGTCAGGTCTCCCAGGAGCGGCTCCTCAGGGGGCTCTGGGGCCTCTGTGCTGGGTTCTGTGGGGCTGGGGGTCTCTTCCTCTGCAGCTGAGAAGGAGACAGACAGGTGAGCAGGGTCCCCACAGGTGTCCTATGCTCTTGAAGAGGAGCTATGGCTACCAGGGAGGTCCCAATGCCAGTTTAGAGATAGCCCCCTCCTGGAGTCTGGTGTCCCTAGTCGGCTGATGGCTGGCCAACACGCCCAAGCTCCTGGGTCAGCTGAGGGGACCCGGACACCAGCACAGCAAAGACCTTGGTGGCCCTGTCACAAGGGAGATCCGCCAACCCCGGGGGAGGACAGACAGGCTGCCACAGTCTTGCTCACAGCCAGCCTGTGGTACTGAGTAGTTCTTGGCCATTGATTTCCCAGTTGCTAGTCACCAAAGAACAGTAGGTTCCACTTCCTGATGGGTCCCACCCTGGTCTCCCACGGTCCACTTACCCGTCATCCCGACAACAGACACGGGGCCCACACGCTGGCCACTGTGGATGCCATACAGGTTCATCTTGTACTTGTGGTCTGGCTCCAGGCCGGGGATGGTGACCTGGTCCTCGTGCCCTGGCACCCGCACCACCTTGGGCTGACCATCCCCGTTCTTGTACTGGATCACGAAATGGTCAAAATGTCCTTCAGGGACTGTCCAGGAGAGGCTCAGGGAGTCAGGGGTGGCGTCTGTCACGGTCAGCTTGCCCAGGATGGGTTTCTTAGGGGTTGTGGTGGGCACTGCCTGTGTGGTCATGGTCTCCTCCTCTGGATCTGGACACACACACAGGAACGGATTAGGTCTTCTCTGTCCTTGCTTCCCATGTAAAGGACCATTTATAAAAGCAAAGCCCAGCTGGGTGTGGTGGCACAAGCCTTAAACCTAGTGCTGGGTAGAAGCAGGTGGATCTCTGTGAGTTCAAGGCCAGCCTGGTCTGCACAGGGAGTTCCAGTTCTGCCAGGGCTACAGAGTGAGACCTCGTCTCAAAACATAATAATGACGATTTAAAAAGCAATAATAAAAATTGAAAAAAATGCGTTTTTTAAAAAAATAGCAAACACACTGGCCTCAGTGGCTCCCCCATACCTTTCTGCCCTTTCCACGCTGCCACCCCGAGCGCCCCACCTTGACTGTCCCTCTCCTTCCAGCTGCTAACACCACTGACCTCGTTCCTCCCTCAGCATCAGCTTCTGCAGGGCCATTACTCGGAGCTTCTCTGAGACAGCTCTCCTCGTAATCTCCCTCACTAGGCTCTGCTCTCTGTCCCCAATCTGACCGTGGACCTGCCCCAACCCAGCTGCCTCCAGACTCGAGTGTCCCAGACTTTTGCTAGAGCCTTCCTAGCCACCTCGGCCACCGACCCGGGACCTGGGGATGGGTTACCATCTCCCATGACCCAGCCCTCCCTTCCTTATGCCCTCCTTGTCTTGCTCAGCCTTCCAGCCCAGCTCTGCATAGACCCATCTTTTGACCCAAATGCCAGCATTCTGCCCAGAACCAGACTTCCTGAGCTGCCCCCAGCGTATCCTAAGACCGTCTGAGGACATCTCATGAAATCCTTGGGTTTCCCCTGGACCATACTTTTCCTAGCCTGCTGGTCTCTGCGCTAGGTCGGATTTACTATTCCTAAATCTGCTCCCAAACTCGTGCCTCTTAGACTTCAGGTCTCGGAGGTTCCCTGTGAGCTGGCTGGCTTAGGTGTCCTTTGTCAGGCCCTGCCTGTCCCCAGGCTTCTCCACACAAGCCCATGTTTGTTTGACTGTGAACCAACCCCTCATTCAGGAGCCCATCATTTTTCCAGGGTCAAGGTTCCCCATTGATGCAGTCTGCACATGGGTCTGGCACCTGTAATTTTGTTGACACACTGGAGGAGTGTACAGTTAAGACCGCATCCCAGCCGGGCAGTGGTGGCGCACGCCTTTAATCCCAGCACTCGGGAGGCAGAGGCAGGCGGATCTCTGTGAGTTCGAGGCCAACCTGGTCTACAAAGGGAGTTCCAGGACAGGCTCCAAAGCTACAGAGAAACCCTGTCTCGTAAAAAAAAAAAAAAAAAAAAAAAAAAAAAAAAAAAAAAACACCGCATCCTAGCATCCTCTCACTGTTTCCATGGTGACAGAGCCTCTGTGAGGACTCATGGAGGCAGGAAGACTGCTGGACTACACATTCCCACGGAGTGCCAACTCCTTGGCTGTGAGGAGCCGTGCTGGCCCTCAGATACCTAGCCATTAAATGATGGGTCCCTAGGGTGGTTGGGGCAGGAGGAGGTGAACCTGTAAGAGGTGTGGCCTGGTGGAAGCCCTGGAAGAGGACAGTGAGGCTGGGCGCCCCCCCCCCACTTTCCACTGGCCTGCTGTGATGTGCTAGTCTATAACACTATCAGGCTCTGAAGGAACAGGGCCAGCCCACCAAAAACCAAGCCAAAGCAAAACTTTTATCAGTTGGTTATATCAGGTTCTTTTTGCTTTCGAGACAGGGTTTCTCTCTGTAACTTTGGAGCCTGTCCCTGGAACTCGCTCTGCCTCTGACTGCCAGCGCCGCAGCTGCCCGGCTATACCAGGTTCTTATTGCCAGAGTGAGGCTAATGCTGTATCTCGATAAGAATGCAGGCTAGAAGACCCCAGATGGCCCTACTGTACCCCGACCTGCGCTGTGGGAAGTCCCTGATGGTTAAGAGCAGAGGCTTCCAGGAAGTTGGTTACAGGGGGACAATTAAGGTCCAGCCCCCGCAGTCCTTCTCCTGTCCCCCAGCATCTACCACCGGGGCCACCCATCCATATTCTTGTAAAGAGTCAAGGTTCAGGAGTGGCTCAGGGAGTCTGGGGAGGATCTTTTGGTTACTAGATCCCTCTGAAGTGATACTCTGGGGGTTCTGGGGACTCCGGTCAGGGATCTCTTTCTCAGAGTCCTCTGACCTGGGAGGAGACTTGGGACCAGGCAGATGTTAAGGACATCCAGCAGATAAACTTCCCCAAGCAGAAGCCTGGGCTCATGTGGCCTCACAGTGGCCCTCTGGTCACCACAGACCGGAGGGCCCCGCTGTCCTGTCTTAGTCAGGCTGCCCTGCCACACACCTTCAGAAGGCAACGAGGCCGTGCGTGTCAGGAGCCAAAATACCGCTCATTTCCTTTGCTCTAATAATCCCATTTCTGGGCACTTATCCTAAGGAAATTATTAAGGGCAGGAAAAAGTTACAGCATGGAAGAATTTATAATGAGATTATTCCTGACAGCAAAATGTGTCAGGACTCAAATGACCCGTAACAGATGATCGGTTTTGTTACAGGGCTTTCACCAGAGAGCATCGGATAACCATTAAAATGATGATTAATGCGGTCACAAGGTAAATGACTACCACCAACTGGCGCTCAGAAAAGCAGGGGCCCGCTGCATGGGAGCACCTAGACGCCGCATGGGAGCACTCAGATGCTGCATGCAGAAAGCAGAGGGGGGCACTTACGCCATTGGCTTTGGATTGGTTTTGTTAGTGATCACTTACACCGTTGGCTTTGGGTTTGGTTTTGTTAGGGGGGCTCTTACATCATTGGCTTTGGGTTTGGTTTTGTTAGGGGGGCGCTAACACCGTTGGGTTTGGTTTTGTTGGTGGTAGGGGTGCTAGACATGGAAGCCAGGGCTTCACACAGGATGGTCAAGAGCTCGCAGCTACTAATGGCGGCTGTTGGGTCAAAGCCAGACCGAGTTTTTGCTCTCTAGTTTTCAAGCTTTGCTCGTGGCTGCCACGTTCTTCACACTACAAAAATTGCAGGCTTGAGAAGGAGTCATTGATGGGTGATGGGAGATGGGAAGGGGCAGTGATGCAGACGGAGAGGGAGGGAGAGGACGTGGGGACCGAGAGGGTGAAGGAGGAACGGGCCGTGGGCCCCTGGCCGCCCTCTCTACTTGCTGTGAGCTGAGAATTGCCCTTCTGAGGAGTGGCAGGAGGTAAAGAGACAGGAAACTGAGCCGTGGGTGAGGATCGGCAGCTTACCCCAGGTTGCAAACTCTCAGTGGCTCCCCAGTTCTCCCCACACCCCACAACCCTGCAGCCTACAGGACACACGTACAGAAACGAGACCTGTCAAGTCAGGGAAACTGTGAGATAATGATCGCTCCACCTAGATGGCCACCAGGGCACAGGAGACTCACAAGCTGGCCCCTCTGTGGCTGAGTGGCTTAACCCACCCCTCACAATGTCCCCAAGGATGGGGCCTGAGTGCACCTGTGATTTACCTGTCCCCTTGCTGCTTAGGGACTCGCAGATTTAATTTTCTCATAATTAGAAGCGAACAGCGTTGCCAGGGTGACAGGGGAGACAGATGGAGTGCTAAGGGAGAGAGGCTGCATTTTTCTGCTTTTCTGTGATTATAAAAGGAATGCGTGGAGGGGGGAAGAAATGCTTGCCGTGTTGGAACATTCACACAATGCAGAACAGATTAAAACAGGAAAAAAAAAACCAAGGCAACCCAGCAATGTGCAGAACGCCGCATTCCGTCTCTCAAGGCACACCGCCGTGGGCGCCGTGGGCTGCGCCTCATCCTGCTCCCCTGCCTTGCTGGTTATTGTCAACTGGTTGTGATTAGCGCCCTACGGAATCTTTGGGCTCTGCTGCCCCCTTTTCTCTCCCTCATCTTGGATTTTACTTTTTGAGGGAGGGAAGATTATTCTGACCCACACTTTGGGGGAGTGTTGGTCCATTGGGGAGGGGAGTGTGGTGAGACAGCCACATCATGGTGATCAGGAAAGAGGGAGGCGGAATCCAGGAAGGGTCCAAGCCAAGAGACAAGTCTAAGAAATGCCCCCAGTTAACTACTTCCCCCACCAAGCGCCCATTCCGACCTCTCACCAGCACCCAACAATGCCACACAGCCCTAGTCCATCACTGAACTCAAGTGTGTGTGTGTGTGTGTGTGTGTGTGTGTGTGTGTGTGTGTGTGTGCATGCTTGAGAAAATGTGTGGCCGTTGCTTCACAGGCATGAACCACTTATTTGGCACACAGTCTCTCGCTGGCCACCAATTTGTCTCAGCTGACTGGCCAGAGAGCCCTGGGGAGCTTCCTGCCTTTACCCTGCCAGCTCCGCCATTAAGAGCATGTACAACCCTGTCCAGCTCTTTTCCGTGAGTCCTGGGAATCAGACTCGGGTCCTCTACCTTCACATCAAGGACTTAACTCAGCCTAGAGCTGTGTGTCATTGTTTATTACGACGGGATCTCCCTCTGGAGTCCAGGCTGCCCTTGACATCACAGATCTCTGTGAGTCTGAGGTCAGCCTGGTCCAGGACAGCCAGGGCTATACAGAAAAATACTGTCTCAGTTTTTTATTTTTATCTTTAATCATGTGTTGTGCCTGTCTGTCTGTCTCTCTCTTCTCTCAGTGTGTGTGTGTGCGCGCATATGAAGCCAGAACCATCAGGTCCTCCTGGGGCTGGAATTACAAGCAGATGTGAGCTGCCTGACATAGGCGCTGGGTAACCAACTGGGGCTCACCTGCAAGAGCCTCCTTAACTTCTGAACCACGTGTGTGGTCCCCACGCTAAAGCATCACCAGGGTGCAAATGCTGTTTATGCCATGTAGTCACCCCTAGCTAGTACGCTGTTGAGTTATCTGCGTATGAGTGTGAATGCGACTTAAACAAAAACCCCTGCAACTCAGAAAGAAAACGGGAAAACACTAGAAGGTGGTTTGCTGTGTGAGTCGTCTCCCCGTTGGAGACCACAGCAGAGTGAGGAAGAGGCTGTGAACAAGGCCAAGGTTGTGCAGGAAGGACGTGGAAGGAAACCAAATCTTAGCCTCCTGGGAATGGGAAGAGAAGGTGGCCACAAAGCCCTGGAAGGAGACACGCCCCTAAAACCCCAGTTCATACTCACCTGTCACGCCCACGGTGGACACGGGGCCCACACGCTGACCATCATGGAGTCCATATAGGTTCATCTTGTATTTGCGCCCAGGCTCCAGGTCTCTCACGATGGCCTCCCTCTCCTGGCCCCCAACTCGCACCACCTGGGGCCGCCCATCACTGTCCTTGTACTGGACACTGAAGGAGTCAAAGTCTCCCTGGGGGACGGTCCAGGAGAGGCTCAGGGAGTCTGGGGACGATGCTGTGACAGTCAGGTCTCCCAGGAGCGGCTCCTCAGGGGGCTCTGGGGCCTCTGTGCTGGGCTCTGTGGGGCTGGGGGTCTCTTCCTCTGCAGCTGAGAAGGGAACAGACAGGTGAGCAGGGTCCCCGCAGGTGTCCTTGGTTCTTGAGGAGAAGCTATGGCTACAGGGAGGTCCCAATGCCAGTTCAAAGGCAACCCCCTTGGGGCCTGGTGTCCCTGGTCAGCTGACAGCTGGCCAACACGCCCAAACTCCTGGGTCAGCTGAGGGGACCTGGACACCAGCACAGCAAAGCTGTCTGTGGCCCTGCTGCCCAGGGAGACTGGCCAGCCCAGAAGAAGGCACACAAAAGCAGACCTTAGCGTTAGCAACGCAGGTCTGTGGGGCTGAGCAGATCTGGGGTGCTAACAGCACCCAGCCACCGATCCCTACCCAGCTGTCACCAAATAGTTTGAGTGTCCCCCTCCCAGTGGGTCCCACCCTGGTCTCCCATGTCCACTCACCTGTCACCCCGACAGCAGACACGGGGCCCACACGCTGGCCACTGTGGATGCCATACAGGTTCATCTTGTACTTGTGGTCTGGCTCCAGGCCGGGGATGGTGACCTGGTCCTCGTGCCCTGGCACCCGCACCACCTTGGGCTGCCCATCCCCGTTCTTGTACTGGATCACGAATTGGTCAAACTGTCCTTCGGGGACTGTCCAGGAGAGGCTCAGGGAGTCAGGGGTGGCGTCTGTCACGGTCAGCTTGCCCAGGCTGGGCTTCAGGGACGAGGTCTCAGTAGGTTCTTCAATAGAGTCTGCGGATGACAGAAAACAGAAGCTTTGTATTTCTGGAAGGAGTTCCCAAGTCCCAAGTCTCTGGCGTGTGGGTCAGAAGGAGGCTGTATCTAGGCCTGATCACGCTCTCTTCCCTGTTTGTAACCACCACCTCCTCCTCCTCTTTCATCCTCCTCCTCCCTCCTCCTCCTCCTCCTCCTCCTCCTCCCTCATCCTAACTGGGAAGCCCTCCTCCTCCTCCTCTCCCCCACCCTCCTCCTCCTTCATCCTAACCAGGCAGCCCTGCCCCAGATCGCATTTGACCTGAGGCATTGGAGGTCAGGGACAGGTTAGAGGCTGAGGAGTATTGGGGTTCTGCGTCTCTGCTGTAGGAGACAGTGAGGGCTCTACTTGCCTGAGACGTAAAAGACTTTACTCACACTCACCCGTCACGCCCACGGTGGACACGGGGCCCACACGCTGACCATCATGGAGTCCATACAGGTTCATCTTGTATTTGCGCCCAGGCTCCAGGTCTCTCACGATGGCCTCCCTCTCCTGGCCCCCAACTCGCACCACCTGGGGCCGCCCATCACTGTCCTTGTACTGGACACTGAAGGAGTCAAAGTCTCCCTGGGGGACGGTCCAGGAGAGGCTCAGGGAGTCTGGGGACGATGCTGTGACAGTCAGGTCTCCCAGGAGCGGCTCCTCAGGGGGCTCTGGGACCTCTGTGCTGGGCTCTGTGGGGCTGGGGGTCTCTTCCTCTGCAGCTGAGAAGGGAACAGACAGGTGAGCAGGGTCCCCCACAGGTGTCCTCAAATGAGGACAGAGTAGCCATAGTTACCAAGGTGGTTCTGAGGTCAGCTCAGAGATGTCCTCCATTTGGGGCCTGGAGTCCCTCCCTGGTCAGCTGACAGTTGACCAACATGCTCAAGCTTTTAGGGTGACCTGCTGTAACCTGAGTGGTTACCAGCATAGCAAAGGCTTCTTTGGAACCCCTGGCCCAGGGAGACAAGCAACCAAAGGAGGGTACAGGCTATAGCCTCGGTTGTAGCCAGTCTTGATACTGACCAGTTTTGGGCCACCAATCAATCTCAGCCCACCTAACCTGGGGGTCACCTCTCAATGAGTCCCACCCTGAGGCTCCCATGTCCACTCACCTGTCACCCCGACAGCAGACACGGGGCCCACACGCTGGCCACTGTGGATGCCATACAGGTTCATCTTGTACTTGTGGTCTGGCTCCAGGCCGGGGATGGTGACCTGGTCCTCATGCCCTGGCACCCGCACCACCTTGGGCTGCCCATCCCCATTCATGTACTGGATCAAGAAATGGTCAAACTGTCCTTCGGGGACTGTCCAGGAGAGGCTCAGGGAGTCAGGGGTGGCGTCTGTCACAGTCAGCTCGCCGAGGTGTGGCTTAGGCTCGGGAGTCATGGTGGGTGGTTCTGTGGGCTCCTCCTCCCAAGGCACTAGACACGGAGAGAGGGAGATGACCACAGGAACTTTTCTCTCTTTGGATCTTTGCAGCTGTTTAGGTCAGACCCAGTCTCTCACTTACCTGTCAGGGCCTCAATTTGAGCAGGGCCCACACGCTGCCCATCGTGGAAACCATACAGGGTCACCAGGTATCTGTGGTCAGATTCCAGACCAGTAAGGGTGATGTCACTCTGGTCACCTTCTGTATTGACCACTTTGAGTTGCCCATCTCTGTCAGTGTACTGAACCTCGAAGGAGTTAAATTCTCCTTCCATCAACACCCAGGAGAGATGCAGGCTGTGAGGCGTGGCCTCCTCCACTCTCAGCTCTCCAAAGCGGGGTACAATTGCGGGAGCTGAAGTCGTGGGGACCTCTGTCCAAGCTTCTGTTGTTTCTTTGGGGCCTGGATCAGAGAGATGGGAGAGCAGGTGACTGCTGTGTTGTGGACTTATATGTTGAAGCGGGGCGGCGGGGGGAGAGGTTTGGGGAGAGGTTTGGGTTTGGAGAAGGGAGGAAGGCAGAAGAAGAAGGGTTAGCAGAAGCATTTGACGTGCCAAATGCCAAGTAGAAGATTCTGCATTTTGCAGGAGTCTAAAATAAGGTGCAGAGAGGCCAACCCCAGAGGACAGGAAGCAATCCCAGTGGCTGCCAGGGCCTGGGGAACCAAGTGCAAAGAGGACCTTAAAACCGGGCAGGAGTGAAGCCTCCCTAAGGGGACCTTGTATCCCTCCCGTGGGCCATCAGACCATCAAAACAAACCCCACCCTGCCTCAAGTTAAATTGCCCAGGAATCCCATGCCGAGAGAAGGAAAAGGTTAAGGCTCCAGCCAGCAGGAAGGGTAACATGTCTCCTGGAAGGAGATGTCACCCAACAGTGACAGCTCGTCAGCCTGCCATGCGGGAGACTGGAACTGATGGGTGGGACCAGCTTTTGACTGGGTCTGCTTAGCTATAGATTCACCTCTGCTCTCCGTTTAAACCTAATGTCAAGACCCCAAAGATGGATTTGAGGGAACACTGGACCTCTTTGCTTCTCTTCCTAAGGTGGTCACATTGGATAAAACTTTCTTTCTGCTTTTTTCTATGACTTGACTGTTTGCTTGGCCAATGGAGGGCAGGTGGTCAGGCCCTGAACAGATTGGGGGCACAGGGGTGAGGGGAGTGTTTTGCACTTACCAGTCATAGCGATGACAGAAAGGGGACCCACACGCTTGCCTTCTCGGAGGCCATAGAGAAGCAGCTTGTACCTGCGGCCTGGGTCTAGACCAGAGACCCTGACCTCCCGATGGCTGCCCTCCACGGGCACCACCTGGGACTGCCCGTCCTTGTCTTTGTACTGGACGACAAAGGAGTCAAACTGGCCCTCGGAGACCGTCCAGGAGAGGTCCACGGAGTCTTGGGTCACACTAGTCACCTGTAGTTCATCCCCTAGGCGAGGTTTTGAGGGGGACTTTACTCCAGTGTGGTCCACGGTATTCATGGGCTCTGGGATGGAGACAGAGGCAAGAAATAGTTCAGATGGTCGTGGGCTGTGACCTTGATGGGCAGGGCAGGGAGAGGAGGAGTTGCTGCCGTAAGCTGGCCTGCTGCTCTGGGCCCTGCCTGGAAGACTCACCTGTGGTGCCCTCTGTGGAGAGGGGGCCAAAGCGCTTCTTTCCCTGAAGCCCATAGAGGAGGAATCTGTACTTGCGGCCTGCATCCAGGCCTGTGATGGTGGTCGTGCGCTCTTGGCCTGGTACTGGTAGCAACCGAGGCCCACCCTTGTCCTTGAACTGGACCACGAAAGAGTCAAAGTGGCCCTCGGGGACTGTCCAGGACAGGCGCAGGGAATCTGTTGTGGGGTCTGTCACCCGCAGCTCCCCAAGGCGTGGAAGGGCCCCTGGGCTGGCGGCTAACACAGAGAAAGGTTCTTGTATTTATTTTTTCCAAAACAATTCTTGACCACCTCCCCCTAGGGCTGGAAAATTCCAGAGTGGCCCAGTGGTTAGTGCCTCCCCATCCACTTTCACCACCCTCTCATCCACTTCCCCACCTAGCCAGAGCCTCCCCCACTTGACCCTTCTGTCCCGAGTCACCCCCGTATGGACACCCTAACTTCCCTGTTCATTTACTCCTCTCTGACTACGGTCTTTCTATCCCTTAGAGACTCCCTTTCTGCAGGGCACAGCTTACCCAGAAACCCCAGCTGAGTGACCTGACTGGCCTCCTGGGGAATTCCTAGGGGTGAGAGGCTCTCTTTTGGGGACAGACAAGTGGGGGAGGTGGGGTGCAATGGGGTTCAGTGTGGCCCAGCCTCCCATTTGACTCACAACACCCACACTCCACAGGGCTCAGAGGCGGTGTGGGGCTCGCTCCGTTACATGCTGTGGGGATTTGTGTTGGGAGAGACACACACAAGAAAACTCCAACAGAGAAGGGGTCCCGTGACTGCCAAGGGAGCCATCCAACTTGGGAAGGCGCCGGCCCGCCGCCCTCCTGGACAGAGCAAAGCCACTGACGGAATTGTTATTGCGAGAGACTTCTGGCAACGGGGAGCCCCAAGGGCCAGAAGATGGCCTGGACCAAACCCCAAGAAATGGTCCAGCTGGGTAGGGTTTCTCTGGTTTCCATTTTCCCAGGCTCTGAGAAGTCAAGGGAGGAAGGTGAACCTCTCTACCAGAAGTGGATGTGTGGACAGAGGGATGGGAGCCAGGCAAGAGCCAGCGAGACAAGCCAAACTCAGGCTGACAGTGGCACCCAGCTGAGGAGGACAGGAGAGGCTCCTGGCCACCTTTACCCCTCTCAAGAGGCCCCAGGCCCCCACAGCCCACCTTCTAGAGAAGGCCCAGCAGCAGAGCAAATGAAGGAAAGAGAGGATTTGAGAACCTGCCCTGTTGGGTCCGGGCCTGATTTGGACCGGGCTGGGTAAACAGGAAGGTAGCTAGCTAGCAGGAAGTTCAGAGACTTGGGGGAAGCAGAGTGTCATGCAGTTTCACCTGTCTTCGCTTCCACAGAGACCTGACTGTGCCGTCTCCCATCTTGGACCCCAAAGAGCAGGAACTTGTACTTGCGGGAGGGCTCCAGGCCGGGGATGGTGACCTCCCGTTGGTCGGCTGCCACAGGCACCACTTGGGACTGGCCATCCCTGTCCTTGTACTGAACCACGAAGGAGTCGAATTCACCCTCAGGGACAGTCCACACGAGGCCCACAGACTCGGGGGTCACATCTGTCACTGCCAGCTCCCCCAAGAGTGACTCCAGCTTGGTGGTCTCAGTGGCTGGAGCTGGGGCTGGTGGGAGGATGTCTAGGATGAGAAGCAAAGCATGGCTGAGCTCCTGGGAAGAGACCTGGCTCTGCCTGCCTTGGGGGCTAATGGTGATGTGGGAGTTTCCTCTTTATCTCCGGTGGCCAATAACAGCCTGGTCTGCCGCCACCAAGATGGTGTCAGGTGCGCTCGTGACTCTCACCAACAGAAAGGCACCTTTAGTGTGGCCTTAGAGTCATCCAGGGGCATCAAAGCACTGTTTGCACTCTAAGAGAGCTGACAGAGAGAGCCCCAGCACTGCCAGGTCATAAATCAGAGAGTAAACTGTTGATAACGGCACATTGATCGGTCGATATCCATAAGATGGTTCCATAGGGGGGCTGGAGAGATGGCTCAGAGGTCAAAAGCACTGGCCACTCTTTCAGAGGTCCTGAGTTCAATTCCCAGCACCCACATGGTGGCTCATAACCATCTGTAATGAGATCTGGTGCCCTCTTCTGGCCTGTAGGCAGGCATGCCAGCAGAATACTGTATACATAATAAATAAATAATTAAAAAAAAAAAGATGGTTCCATGGACCCCAAACCCGAGGATGCTCAGGTTCCTCATAGAGGATGGGAGTCTCTGCACATCCTGAAAACTTTGAATCACCTCCAATAGCTTGTTGCGCCTCAAGCAATGTAACTGCTATACAAACGGTTGGCAACTATCTGGTTTATAAACCCATTTAATACGAACACACATGTGTGCAAATGAGCATCCAAGTGCATGTGTGTGTTCATATGTGTGCAGGTGAGTATGCACATGGTGTGAATGTTCATGTGTGTAGGTGAACATACATGTATTGTGCATGCATGTTCACGTGCATGCAGGTGAGCACGTGTGTGTGTACACGGAGAGGCCTTTTGGGCTGTTCGTCAGTAACCGTCTGCCTCATTTTCTTCTGAGACACAGACCCTCCCTGGACTTTAAGCTTGCCGACTAGGCAAGGCTGGCTGGCTAGTGAGCCCCAGAGACTCTCCTGTCTCTGCCTCTGCAATGTGGGGATTGGAAGCCTTCTCCACCATGCCCAGCATCTCCCATAGGTTCTGGGGATCTGATCTCGGGTGTTCACGCTTGTGCAACTGCCCACTGACCTGTCTCCACAGGCCTGAGGAGGAGTATGTTTTAGATTTTTTTTTCTGGGTCTGGTGAAATGGCTCAGTGGGTAAAAGCCTTTGCCTGGTGACCTAACTTCAATCCTTAGGACCCAGACGGTAGATGGAAAGTTGTTCTTCGGCCTTCATCACGCTGTGATAAGTGAGCGTCTACACGTGTTCGCACATGCTCACACACACACATGTAAAACGTTATATATTTTTGTGTGTCTATTCTGTCTGCAGCTGCACGTGAAACCTCTGAAGATATGGGATGCGGGTTATATCCGCGTTGTTAGTGTCCTTCATGATCATATGAATTCTGTTTTCTAGATTTTCATGCCCTGTACTGAGAGAGGATAGGGATTCCCCCAGAAGCCATGGTCCATGAGTCACAGTGAGCTTAGTCCGGGAGTAAAGAGAGGAAGCAGGAGCCTGGAGTTCAGGGAGGCGTGTCTTCCCCAGGGGTGATGTTGGAGTGGGCCAGAAGGGAATGTGACTTGGACAGACACCCAGGACCTCTGAGAAGTTCTGAGATTGTGTGTGTGTGCTTGACCTCAGTGAAGAAGGGCAGAGATTGGGGAGGCGGTGGCTGTGTTCAAATCACAGGGGGCGGGGGCTGTGTTCAAGTCACTGTAGGGTTGTCAAGAGGCGGGAAGAAAAAGTGAAATGGCTGTGCAGTCAAAGAGAGGAGTCAGGGGAGAGCGGAGAGGGGAGGAACAGAGGGATGGAGGCCAGATGGGAGGCAGGGTCAGGCTTGGAGTGCAGATAAGGAAACCACTGGGTGTGGGAAGGTCCCAGCCTTAGGCAGAAGCCAACGGTTTGGGGGGTTTGGGGATGGACTCGTGACTATGAGCCTAAGAGAGGTCACCGGTGCAGAGGCTAAGGGATGGCAGTCCCAGGCAGGGCTGGGTACCGCCTGGCTCCCTCCCTCACCTGTCATTGCCAACACAGAGAGGGGGCCCACACGTCGTCTGCCATGGAGCCCGTAGAAGTTCATCTTGTATTTTCTTGCAGGATCCAAGTCAAGGATGGTGACCTCGCGCTGGTCAGCAGCTACAGGCACCTCCTGGGGCTGCCCGTCCCTGTCCTTGTACTGGACCATGAAGGAGTCGAACTGTCCATCAGGGACCATCCATGAGAGGCTCACAGAATTGGGGGTCACACCCGTCACTGTCAACTCCTCCAGACGGGGCTCAAGCGGAGGCTCGATGGCCGGAGAGGGCTCTTCTGGTCGCGAGTCTGAGACAGAAATGGCGGAGCCTGCTAGAAAAAGTTCCTAAGAGTGCCATACGCAAGACTGCACCGATCGGCAGCACTCCCGTCCAGAAGCTTCACCAGCAATCTGGTGGCTCTGGCACCGGCGATCTGGCTCAGCCGACACAGGCACTTTTGAGCAAGCCTGGTAACCTAAGACCCATGGAGAGGTGTAAGGAGAGAGCCAAACTCACAGAGCTGTCACCTGATGTCTGTACGTGCACCGTGACACATGCATCAGATACAACAGCAACAACAGGCACACACAGATGGCTTCACCGAATCCTTGCCAGCTGTCTGTCACGAAGCTGGTGACAGCCCTGGTCCTGGGTGACTTGTCCTGTCTAGATACTATGACCGTTCAGCAGCTAGACAGCCCCTGACTCATGGGCATGGGACTCAGGAGTAAGAGGGAACAGAACCACACTCACCCGTCACGCCCACGGTGGACACGGGGCCCACACGCTGACCATCATGGAGTCCATACAAGTTCATCTTGTAATTGCGCCCAGGCTCCAGGTCTCTCACGATGGCCTCCCTCTCCTGGCCCCCAACACGCACCACCTGGGGCCGCCCATCACTGTCCTTGTACTGGACACTGAAGGAGTCAAAGTCTCCCTGGGGGACGGTCCAGGAGAGGCTCAGGGAGTCTGGGGACGATGCTGTGACAGTCAGGTCTCCCAGGAGCGGCTCCTCAGGGGGCTCTGGGACCTCTGTGCTGGGCTCTGTAGGGCTGGGGGTCTCTTCCTCTGCAGCTGAGAAGGGAACAGACAGGTGAGCAGGGTCCCCACAGGTGTCCTCAAGTGAGGACAGAGTAGCCATAATTACCAAGATGGTTCTGAGGTCAGTTCAGAGAAGCCCACCTTGGGGCTTTGGGGTCCTGATCAGCTGACAGCTGGCCAACACGCCCAAACTCCTGGGTCAGCTGGGGGGACCTGGACACCAGCACAGCAAAGCTGTCTGTGGCCCTGCTGCCCAGGGAGACTGGCCAGCACAAGGGGAAGGCATACAATAGTAAGCCATAGCTTCGACCAGAACAGACCTGGGGGACTGACCAGTCCTTGGCCACCATTCCCCAGTCACTAGTCTCCAAAGAGCTGGAGGTCCTGTTTCCTGATGGGTCCCACCCTGAGTCTCCCATGTCCACTTACCAGTCACCCCGACAACAGACACGGGGCCCACACGCTGGCCACTGTGGATGCCATACAGGTTCATCTTGTACTTGTGGTCTGGCTCCAGGCCGGGGATGGTGACCTGGTCCTCGTGCCCTGGCACCCGCACCACCTTGGGCTGCCCATCCCCGTTCCTGTACTGGATCAGGAAGTGGTCAAACTGTCCTTCGGGGACTGTCCAGGAGAGGCTCAGGGAGTCAGGGGTGGCGTCTGTCACGGTCAGCTCTCCTAGACGCGGCTTCTTGAGGGGCTCTGGGGCCTCTGTGCTGGGCTCTGGGGGGCTGGGGGGCTGACCCACAATGTGTGGTGGGGCTGAGGAAAGAGAGCAGGCACTTAACAGTGACAGCCAGTCAGCGGGGCACCAAAGCCCATATGCTCCTCTCCTGAAGTCTTAGGACCCCTGCGGCCTTGGTATCCAACACCCAGTCCCTAAAGCGACTTTCTGAAGCTGCCTGCTCCCTCCCTACACCCGACCCCACCATTTCTAAGGAATGCTTCACTGAGGTAAGGTCACTGCCTAGAATTCAGGGAAGGTGGCATCGGGTAGGCGGGCCTGGGGAGAGTCCTGCTCCTCCCTGGATGTACAACTCCCTGGGCCCCACCCAGGGTCCCCACCTACTGTTCCCTGCAGTGGGTTTCTGAGACCCTGGAGTTCTATGAAGAACAGGAGCAGGACGGGGAGGGAGCAGACAAGAGGCAAACAGTGGCTATGGTGTTATGTGGGGAGGTCTGGAGCAAAAGGGAGTGCTGGGGAGGCAGCAGTGGCTCGGCTTCCGCAGAACTGGCGCACAGGTGTTCTGAGGCAGAGTCAGCTGTACTTTAGGTAAGGTCTTACTGTGCAGCCCAGCCTGACTTGGGATTCAGCAAATCTCTTGCCTCAGCCTTCAAGGCACTGTGTTAAGGGCGTGTCTTACCATGCTTTGGATATTAACAGTGCCAAGGGGTATCACCATAAAGACCCCCCCGCTTGGCGGAACGGAAGCCGGAAGCAGCGAGATTAAGTGACTGGCCCAAGGCCCTATGGGCACTGACTTATGAAGTCAGTAGTGAGGGATGGGCAGCAGCCTCCAAAGACCGTTCTCCCTAGCAGTGTATCACCAGCGGACCGGAGGGGCTGGGGACGTGGAGGAACGGGAGGGACAGATAAGGCTCAGAGCCAGACTAGGAGCTGGGGAGTGGAGGCTAAAAAGACTCCTTTCTGTGTGGAAAGAGGCTGGAGCAACATGGCCCCCTGGCCCTGCCACCCCTGCACAGAGCAGCCATGTGGTCAGGGTGCCGGAGCCGAGGGCAGGAGCCCAGCAGTGATGGCCAGGGACTGAGTCAGGACTGAAGGCGTCCAGGAGAAGCAGCTGCAAACTCTGGCTGAAGTAGAAGGGCCTGAAGGAGAGGGTCTGGCTGTTCGGAATGGGGAAAGTGAACTCGGGAAGCAGTGTGAGGAGCCAGAGCCTGGGCAAGGAGTCCCGGGATGGACACAGGGACAGAAGAGTGGCTGGGAGGAAGGAGGCAGAGGTCTCAGCAGGAGTACTGCAGAAATGGAAGGTGGAGTGGGGGGGGGGCAGCCCTGCCTGGGGCCTGGGGCCAGCAGTGTGGGTTCTGACTCACCCGTTTTGGCCACCACAGACACGGGCCCCACACGCTGCCTGCCACGAAGCCCGTAGAGGTTCATCTTATACTTCCTGTTGGACTCCAGGCCAGGGACAGTGACCTCATTCTCATCCCCCGCAACGGGCACAGTCTGGGGCTGCCCCTGGGCATCCTTGTATTGGATCACAAAGGAGTCGAAGGGGCCCTGGGCCACCGTCCAGGACAGATGCAGGGAGTCCGGGGTCACGCCAGTCACCGTCAGTTCCCCCAGGAGGGGCTGCTCAGAGGACTCCTCTTTCATGTCTGGGGCTGTAAGCAAGAAGAATGAGCCATGTACGGAACCCACAGCCTGGGATGGGAGTTGAGATTTGGACCTGGGGTACACCCAACCCTGGGAAGCTGGGCACAGCCAGCGTATGACACAGCTCCTGGGCTTAAGGGAGCACCCTGAATGGGATGGAAGGGGCCTAGCTGTGCAGGGAAAGCTGGCTGCCCCTTAGCCTGGGAGCAGGGCCAGGGTGTCGGGATCAGCCATTTTGCTGGGAGGCTCAGCTGCTTCCTGGCTGAGGGAGAGCGGGCAGAGATCAAGAAGAGGACACAAGAGCTTAGGTGGCAGCCACTCACCGGTAGTGCCATCGGCAGTGAGGGGCCCATACCGCTTCTTATTGGCAATCCCAAACAGAGTGAATCTGTACTTGTGACTGGGCTCCAGCGGGGAGATCACCGCTGACCGCTCAGGCCCCTCCACTGGCACCACAAGGGGCCGTCCTTCCTTGTCTCTGTACTGGACCATGAAGGAGTCAAACTGGCCCCCAGGAACAGTCCAAGAGAGGTGCAGGGAATCCGGGGTGGGGTCTGTTACCCACAACTCTCCCAGGCGGGGTGGAGATGCTGGGTTGGGGTCACTCTGAGGCACTGGGAAGGGGGAGTAGAGACAGGAGAGTCATGGGAGGAAGGCGGTCCTGGGCAGGCTGCTCCCTGTGCAAAGACGCATGACTGGGGAGGGAGCCAGCGGGGTCTGCCGAGCTGCGAGCTCTGTCGAGGGGCTGGACTGGATTGCAGGAAGGAGCGACACCTTCTAAACAGCCTAATGCACTATACTCCCAGCCAAGGGGAAGAGGCTCCGGAAGCGAGGGGGAACACAGCCAGCCTTTCACATCTGTGTGGCCAGGGAAATCTCCCTAGGCAGCCTCCATACTTCCAACTTAGCTTTTAGTTTCTCCTTCAGGAGAGGACACCCGTGGGTGCACCCACCCACCTGCTGCTGTCTGCCACGCCCCTGTCCCTGCCTGTACCCGCTTTCTGAACCAACCTATTTCTTTCTTTGCACTCTGTTGCCAGAGGATTCCAAAAATGTCTGTATCCATCACCTCCAATCCAGCTCTGCCCTCCCATCGGGCAGCTCCTGGTGACCTGGCCATTGCTAAGTCCTGTGGACCCTGGAGAGCCCTAATTCATTCCTGTGGACCCTGCCTGGCTGCCCCCTCCTCCCAGCATCTGGGACACTATCCTGGTGCTTCTCCATCTCTGCTCCCTTGCTCCCCACAGCTACAAGGTCACAGTTGAGGTTCCTCCGATCACGGTCAGGCAACCCTCTGTACCTCAGTGGTGCCGCTTAAGGCTGCTCAAAGGACCTACGGTCGTTCAAGAATGCCCTGAGTGCCGGGCAGTGGTGGCGCACGCCTTTAATCCCAGCACTCGGGAGGCAGAGGCAGGCGGATCTTTGTGAGTTCGAGTCCAGCCTGGTCTACAGAGCTAGTTCCAGGACAGGCTCCAAAGCCACAGAGAAACCCTGTCTCAAAAAAAGACACACAGAAGTCCAGAGACACACAGAAGGTATTTTTCTGAATGCCCTGCCCTGTATTGTTCCCCTCCTGCTGCCGCCTGGGAGACAGAAGTGGCTGAACCGGGGACCTGGCCTCCAGGCTCTCCTCTCGCACCCAGTCCCCCTGCCCCCGCTCCAGACCAGCATCAGCCGCCAGTCACCAGCTGCTGACTGATCCCCTGTCATGCTCCAGGAGCAGACACTGCTGTTTCTAACCTAGCCCATCACTTCACTCTCATCCAGAGGCCTTCAGGGGTCCCTCGGGGCTCGCAAATGAGGTCGAAGCCATCCCGCACAGCCCGCAGAACCCCAGGACTAAGTCTTCAGCACCCCACATGTCCTGCTCTCCAGCCAGAAGAGTGCTGTGGGTTCTCTGGGAGACCACCCCCTCTGCTGCCCCTACCTCCTCACCTCTGCTGCCCCCAGTGCTTTCCCTTCAGGCTGCTATGGGCCCCACACCATCTCCCTGGACCCTAAAGCTCTGGGGCAAACTACGTCATGACAAAGTGAAGGGCAGGGGTCTGCTGTCACTCACAGATCTTGGCTTCAGCCACCAAAGGGCCATGCCTCTTCTTGCCGACGAGCCCATACAGAACAAATCTGTACTTGCGCCCCGGTTCCAAGGATGTAACGGGTGCTGAGCGCTGGGGTCCCTCCACAGGTATCACCTGGGGCCCATCTTTGTCCTTGTACTGAATCACAAAGGACTCAAACTCCCCCTCTGGGACAGTCCAGTGCAGGAGCAGGGAGTCAGAAGTCAGGTCTGTCACCGTCAGCTCACCCAGGCGCGGTAGGACCGATGGCTTCCCAGGCTGCTCCTCAGTCCTGTCTGGCATTTGGGACAAAGACAAAGCAATGCTGGACCAACCGCTCCCCTTCACCCTGTCTCCCGCCCTCTTCTCTGCCTCACTCACCTCATCCTGGATGCCTCTATCCCTGACCCTCCTGAGAAAGATACATTTTCTCTAAGTCCCCTCTTGATGGCCCCACCTCTGTACCCTAAAACTTTAAGGAGAGTTTTGTGTCCCCTATGGCATTACCTGGGAGTTTCTAGCCTCCCCACTGGTGCTTCAGAGCAGTCTTCAGGCTCCCCAAACCCCTGAGCTGCTCTCTCCCTTGCTCCCCTCTCTCCTAATTGTCAGCTTGTTCCAGAACTGAACCAGGAGACCACTCTAGTCTCACAGGGAGAACCCAGGGGGTGTGAGGGCCAGGCATCCAGACCTTGTCCTTCCCACCCATCTCTGAAGTTGTGATGGCAGTAGAACCCCCTGAACACAACACAGAGACACAGACACAATACCACAGACACACACACACACAGATACACATACACAGAGACACACACACAATACCACAGACACACACACAGATACACATACAGAGACACACACACAATACCACACACAGAGACACACACAGACACACAGAGACACACACAGACACACACACAGACATACACACACACAATACCACACAGACACACATAGAGAGACACACAGACATACACACACACAATACCACACAGACACACATAGAGAGACACACACAGACACACACACACAATACCCCCCCCCACACACAGAAGACTTTATCCCCAGAAAAAACTGTCCAGTTCAACCGCAGGTGCTGTCCCCAGGAGAAGGTTCAGCTGAGGGGCAGTGCTGGAGCGGAGTTCCATCTACCTTGAACTCCGGGGCAGAGCAGAGGAGCAACCAGGAAGTGAGGCTTACCAAGCAGGGTCGCCTCCAGGATGGGTCGCCTCCAGGATGGGTCACCACCCACCTCTGACTTTCCTCCTAGCTGCCTTCCCTGTGAACTCTCAAGCCTTTCTCTCCCTTCTGCTTTCTCTTTTCCTCCGTTAGACCTGCCTTTCACCGGCCCCTGAAATCCTTCCTACCTCTAGAGCCTTGAGATGCCCCAGCTCCTCCCCCAGATTCAGGACACTGCTCTGAGCACAGTCCAGAATGTACCCATAATGCCTTGGTAGGTGATGGGAACAGAGGGCTTGCCCCCAGGGGTGATCCCATGGAGGAACAGCTTGTAAGGGGCTCCGGGAGGGGGCGGGGGCACCAGAGCCTGGTGGGCGTCTCCTGGTAGCAGTTCTTCATACGCCCAGGGCCCCTCGGCCACCTGCATGCGCAGCTGGAAGTGGGCAAAGGTGTCGGGCTGGGCAGTCCAGGCCACACGGAGGCGCCCTGCCTTGTCTCTGCCCAGCACCTTCAACTCTCCCAGCGGGTGATGCTCCATGATCAGGATAGGGGCCTGGGCCCCTTGGGTAGTAGAGGGGCCCGAGGGAGGAGGCTCATCGGTGGCCTCCAAGAGGCCAGAGGGTAAGGACCCTGGGAAGGGGCAGAGCGGGTGAGAAAAACAGGAGAGTCGGGTATGAGAGAAGGAAGGGATCCTTTAGTCCCCAGGTGTGCCCACAGCCTCTGAGCTAGGCGGCTCCCCTCCCCTCCCCAGCTGCTCCCCAGCCCTGTCTGGGTTCTTCCCACACTTGGCCAAGTCCTCCAGATTCCCCCATGGTGCTTATCTGGAGCGGCCAGGCCTGGATCAGGGCAGGCAATGACAACCTGCCCTCCCTCCCTGCCCAGGAGCCTCCCACACCGGTAGTGTCTGCCTTCCATTAGTGTTGCAGTGAGAAGCCTGGAAGAAAGGAAGGGGCAGTGATGTTAGGAAGAAAAGGGGTGGTGGGCAGAAAGGGAAAAGAGAGGGTGTGAGGGTGGACGTCCAGTTCCGGTGGCATCTGGGCCCTATGGAGGAAGAAGAGGTCCACCCCCACCCTGCAGCCGCAAAGCTCCCTGTCCCCGGGTCAGGTATCAGTCCTGTGGGAGAGACCAGCTGGAGGGGAGCCACGCCTGGGAAAGCAGTTCAGGAAGCTGTGGTTTCACCACACACACACACACACACACACACACACACACACACACACACACACACACGGTCATCCACGCACGCACACGCCACGCGCGTGCCCGATGGCTTTCAAGGCCACCCTCAAGCACTTCTGCAGCCCTGCAGGGTCAAAGCCAAACTGTGGGAAATAACCACAGACCACAGGCTTCAGGCGCCCTCACCGCAGTGAGTCAAAGTGGGAATCTCCGGTTTCAGTCCCACCCAATGAAAAAAACTGCCGGGCAAATCTCTGCTAACACCCAAGTCTTCCGCAGCTCGCCTTGGAGGTGTCCAAGCTGCAGGTCAGCTGTGAGTGCTGCCCTACACAAGGCTATAAACTTGCCAAAAGCATTATGGACGGTGGTTTGTTTGTTTGTTTTTTCAATAAAAGAAAAAAGAAACTTCAAGTGCAAGGTACGAACTTTGCACACAACATTGCGTTGCCACGTCAAGATGCCGGATTTGCCCGGCAAGAACAGGCATTGCAGAAGAGCTTGGGAGCCCAGGTGCGAGCCAGGCAACCCCACAAACCAGGTCTCTTTGGCTTTAGTAACCCTCAGGAGAATGCCAGGACCCTGGAATGGAGCTTTTGGGACACTGGAGGGCTGCTTTCTGTGGCAGTGTCCTCCAGCCTGGCCAGGTAGGCTAGGAGGTGGAAGGGCGTGGTGGGGGCGAAGGCCTAAGCAGTGAGACAGTGGGAGGAGGAAGTGGCCGCAACCTCGGAGGCAGGTGACGCTGGACAGGGGGTGGGCAGTCCAGGGCCCCAGCCCACACTACCTGTGGTGGTGATGAAGGCGTAGGATTTGGAAGTCTGCCCTGCCCGCACCCCATGGACCTCCACGTGGTAAGTAGTGCCAGGCCTGAGGTTGGGTAAGCGAACAGTGCGTTCTGAGCCATCCACAGTCAGCTCCCCGCTGGGGCCCTTGGCGGGTGGCAGTGGTCGCCAGCGCAATACCACACGCTCGAACTGGCCCCGGAGCCCGTCGAGGGACACGATCAAGGCGCCGTCGGCTGCACTGCCCAGCACCTCGGGCTTCGGGTGACGCGCTGTGGTCACCAGGTGCGCATCATCGGACGCTGGGTTCACATCTCCCCGGTTCCTGGTGCTTTGGGAAGGACTAGTGGTGGGGTGGGGGTGACGGGGCTTGGGTGCCGGGGCACCCGCTGTCTGGTGGCGCTTCAAGAACTCATGGATGTGGCGCGCCACCGACGCGTAAGTCTGGTTGGCGCGCAGTGGGTAGCCGTGGGCACGCAGGTGACGCTCCAGGTCCTGTACTGTGCCGCGGAAGCGGCCCAATTCAGCCGTCAGGTTACCCCACGGCCGTCGGGGAGGTTGGGACAGGCTCGGCCGGGGATGCCACTCCTTCGCGATCCCCTCTGTGGGCCGCAAGGGCCAGGAGGGCCGCGGAGGCCGGGGACGGGGGCTGGGGGGCGGGTTTGGGGGGTGCACCTCCGGGTAACCGTAGTGGCCTGGTGCTGCCGAGTGAGAAAGGGGAGGGGACATCAGGTCAGTGTCAGCTTCCCCCACCGCACGCTCCTCCTCCTCCTCCTCCGCTCCTCCTCACCGCTACAGTTCCCGCTAACCCACCGAGGACGAGGCCTCTTCCCTGAGGCCCAGCCCCACCTAGAAAGAGAAATTGTGTCCCTGAGCCCCACCCATTCCTTTGCCCTCCAAGCCAGCCACTGTTGGTGTCCTAGAAGGAAAAAAAGCCAGCAGGCGGGGCGTGTATCTGGTGGAGAGAACGGGAAAGGGGGAAGGAAATGTGAGCGACTCCGAGGGCGCCGCCTCGTCCCAGGAAAATGAACGATCCGTCTGGGCGCCTGTTAAGAGACCTTGAGGGTTGGTGGAAAACCACGCTCTGAGACCCAACCCCAGGCAATCCCAGTCCCAAAGTCAGCAGGGCCTGTTTCGCTCTAGTCTCCCGAGATCAAATGTACCTAGGTTAGGATAAAAGCCACCCTGCCCTGAAGGGCTCACAGCCTCTGCACACTGCTCCCCTCCCAGTCTAACCTGCAAGCTTCCTATAGGACTCCAGGCACCCGGAGCCTTTAGAACAGAGCAGGACCTAGCAGGGGTGCTGGGTCTATGACCCTCCAGCCCGGGTCCTCAAGGAGAGGGCTCCCAGCCTTGGAAACTAGGCTCTTCCCTAACACTCAGAATGCCATACCTGTGTTTGCCCTGATAGAAGCCGGGTAGCTGACCGCACGGCCCCGTTCTGCGGTGACAGTCACCACATACTCCACGCCTGGCATCAGGTCGGTTAGCTGAGTCCTGTCTGCCTCAGGGGGAACTTCCAGACGCACCCTTTGGTTGCCGGCACTGACGTAGGACACCACAAAACGGTCCACCTCAGCCTGGGGCCGCAGCCAGCTGAGATCCAGAGTGGTCGGAGTCACGGCTACCACTCGGAGGTCCTGAGGACCGTCTATCACTAGCAGGATTAAACAGAAGATGGCTCAGAAGTGAATCCGCTTGCTTCTGCTCTGGTGCAGCCCCCAGCCCAAGCACATTCCCAGCTGCCTGCCAAATCCAGATGTCTTGCCCCCATAGCCCCAGCTCTCACTGGTAGTGATGGTCTTAGAGGCAGGAGGACCCCAGCTGGTCCCTCGTAGAGCACGGACGGTGACTTGGTAGTCCTGACCAGGGGCCAGTCCTCTCTGGTCATAGGCTGAGGCAGAGCTGGGCACCCGAGCTGTGAATGGTGGACTCGCCCCCTCAGTCTGCAAGAGAGTACCAGACACATCAGAGTGGAGCTCTCTTCCTTGCTCCCTGTCTCTTCTTCTTCTTTTTTTTTAAGGTTTATTTATTACATATACAGTGTTCTGTCTGCATGTATGCCTGCAGGCCAGAAAAGGGCACCAAATCTCATTGCAGATGGTTGTGAGCCATATGCGGGTGCTGGAAATTGAACTCAGGTTCTCTGGAAGAACAAGCCAGTGCTCTTAACCTCTGAGCCATCTCTCCAGCCCCCAGTCTCTTCTTTTTAAACAATCCCAAATGGCGTCGACATAAAACTGTGTGGGACTTGGTCCCACTCAGGCTGAGGAGCATGGATGGAAACCACAAGACGCCTAGAGCCTCCCTCCGGCCAGCAACTCTTCTCTGTGGTTTGTGTCTATCCGTTCACTTAACCATCCAAGAAAACGATTCTATCAATCCTACTTGACAAATGAGGAAACCAGGCTCAGAAAGCCCATGTCCTGATAGGGTACGCACCAGGAGAGCAGAAAGGTTGGAGAGGTGGCTTACTGTTCCCGCGTAGGATCTAAACCCAGTTCTCAGCACCTACCCGGGCAGCTCACAACCATCTGTAATTCTAGCTCCAAGGGGTCCAATACCTCTGACAGCCTCAGGCCCCTGCATTCATGTGCACATACCCACACACAGACACATAAGTAAGCATAAAATCATGTTTTTTGTTTTGTTTTGTTTTTCGAGACAGGGTTTCTCTATGGTTTTGGAGCCTATCCTGGAACTAGCTCTTGTAGACCAGGATGGTCTCGAACTCACGGAGATCCGCCTGCCTCTGCCTCCCAAGTGCTGGGATTAAAGGCTAAAATCATGTTCTTAAGAAATCCCAGCTGAGCAAGACCTGGTGGCGCACACCTTTAATCCCAGCTGAGCAAGGCCTGGTGGCACACACCTTTAATCCCAGCTGGGAAGCAGAGGCAGATGGATCTCTGAGTTTGAGGTCACTTCAGAGTGAGTTCCAGGACAGCCAGGACTACACAGAGAAACTCTGTCTCAAAAATTAAACAATAAAGATAGAAAGAAGGGAAACTGAGGCAGTCGAAAGCACTTGCTGCTTTTGCAGAAGACCAGAGCTGAGTTCCCAGCACCCACATGAGGCGGCTCACACTGCCCATAACTCTAGCGCCAGAGGGTCTGAGGCCCTCTTCTGGCCTCCCTGAGCACCTGCACACATACATGTGCATACACACACATGTATACACACATTCATGCACATCAACAAAATGCATCCTTTTTGTTTTGCTTTTGAGACAAGGCTTCTCTGTGTATCCCTGTGTATCCCTGGCTATCCTAGAACTCACTTTGTAGAGCAGGTTGGCCTTGAACTCACAGAGATCCTCCTGCCTCTGCTTCTCAAGTGCTGGGTTTAAAAGCATGCGCCACCACTGCCTGACAATAAATCTTTAAAAATATAAGAAAGCCGAGAGGCTTGAGTGCAGGCGGTGTGTACCCTGGCCCCCCTCTCACGCACAATCCCTGCTCATCTGCCAGACCCAGGATTCCCTCTGGCTCCCCTGGCAACCCCAGCTACCCACACACATTCTTTCAGAACAGACAAAGCGGAGTGGGGATGTTCCCGTGCCCCCTCTGCTTTCCCCAATCTGCTTAGCTGGCCCTGGGGGTAGTGCTTGCTGCCTGTGTGTGACCGGGTGTCCCTTTAGACATTTTCTTGTCTCTTCAGCAACCTTACACATCCACTAAAGAAAGGCTCAATGTTCCAATAGCACATTTCCTCAATGCTGCCATCATGCTGTGTGTTGGAGACTGAAAAAATAAGACACCATCCCTGTCCTGGGGTTGGGTAGAACCTAGTAGCCAAATGCAGCAGCTCTCTCTCCCCAATCTCTATGTGTGGTAAATACCCACAAGGATAAAATCCTCTCCTTTAAGTGTGTGTTTAAGGTCATGAGATTACATAGGGTGGCTTTGTGGGCTCCTAGAGCGCCACTGCTGGTGGGGGGAGGGGGGCTGGACATGTGTGAGCATCCTAACAGTCCAATGCTGTGTGGGGCTGCCTCGCCAGGACAGCCGCCGGGGACACTCTGTACCGCTCTGCTATGTTGGCCATGATAGGGACACCTCCATGCAGCCAAATGGGGTTGGAAAATTTGAAAGGTACTGTCCTAAACCAGAAAAGCATAGTAAATACCAAAGTAAAAAACCAGATGAGCGGCCACGTGGGGATTTTCGGGTGAGGGATGAACCAGGGCTGTGTCACTATTTTCTAGGTCCCCTGGTAATGGAGAATCCTGCCCTGCTCCTACAGTTCCAACTGAGGGGCCTTGGGGTGGCCTTCACCCACACGTGTGACATCCACACACCTCCCAGGACCTGCCCTGCCCACAGTCCACCTCCATCCTGTCTCTCCTTCTAGTATACGCCCAAAGTCTAGATCTTTCATCAAAGCAAACTCATCCTGAATTCTTTCTTTGGATCAACCTATTTCTTGGTCCCTCCCTGGAAGTCCCCATGCCAGCCTCACCCACGCTGCCCAGCCCCATCCCGCAGCTCTGAGGCAGGCTCTCTGGCCAAGCATTGGCAGCTGACACTACTTCCTGGCAAAACTTGGCTCCACTGATTGTTCATGGTGACTGCTTAACTTGATTCTCAGGATCAGCCGTGGGGGTCCCACAAGGAAAGCCTCGCTGGGATGACCCCCAGAGAGGACCTAGCTCCCTTCTCCCCTTTCACTCCATGTCTTCTGAGGTCCAGGTCTGTCCCAGTGAGCGCCTGACACGGCTGTTTCCAGGCTGCAGAGGACACCCAAAGGCTCTGACTCCCTCCCAGGGGACAGTCCTGGAGACAGTCTTGAGGCTTGAGGCCATGAGCATGGACTAGAACCTTTGTCCCAGTGAGTTCTTGGCACCTCTACACTTCCACACCTCTCCCTCAGAACCTAAGGTGGAGGCAGCAGCTCATGGGGCAGCATTTCAACCAGCTCCCTGGTGACACTGACACCCAGGTCCTGGAACACTGAACACACTTTGAGAGCCACTGATCACGGTGACAGTCCACATACAGAGGAGGAGAGCCGGAGCACGCGCTTGGCTGGGAATAGCAGTCGGGTTCAGAGAGAGAAGTGTTTCGGGGCGGGGAGCTGCCAGGAACAGGCCGGCCGCAAGGAAGATGGAGGGGGTGCCAGCGAACTGCAGAATAGGCTCCAGGTCAGCTGATGGCCAGAGCATGGCCAGGGCAAAAGGTTCAGGCCCAAGAGTCACCACAAGAAAAGCAAATACAGCAGGTCTGAGGCTGAGTGTGGTTAGGACCGGTTTAAGGGACCTCCTTCACTTGCAGCCTCACAAGGACCTGGAAGGGTCCCATGCCCAGAGCAGAGATGAAGGACTGAAAGCAAAGACGAAGCAAAAGCCGCACCCCTTGACAACACCCAAAATGGGCTGTGTGTGTTAGGAGCGAGAGACAACATTGCCTGAAGCCCTCTCTTATCTCGACTGTTTATTTCATTTCTCCCTACCCTAAAGGTTCATAGGAAAATTCCTCCGAAAGTCCCACCCTCCAGATTAGAGCTATGTAAATACTGTACGTGCACAACAGAGTGGGAGAGACACTTCGTAAAATGTTAGCGCGGTTGTTTTACTGTTAGGCGGCCAACTATCGTTTATCCTCTTCTCTACTTGCCAAATTCTTGTCTCCTGATTAAATTATTTTTATATAAAAAATTCAGAGAGAAGAAGGGGGGCTATCTTGGTTGTCAGAGGAGAAGGGGGCTATCTTAGTTGTCAGAGGAGAAGGGGGCATTCTTGGTTGTCAGAGAGGAGGAGGGGGGCTACCTTGGTTGTGCCACAAAGCGGGGATACAGCTGCAGGAGACCTTCCTGTGAGACCTGCCCTGGGACGAGGATGACAGCCAACACTTGCCACCTCTCTCTTCCCCGTTGCCTTATGAGGCTGTAGGGCCAGGGAGTAAGCTTGTCTAGAGCCTCCCCCCACCCCCCAGACTGATGGATGCAAGTGTGGCCTTGCCCAGCATCTGTGGGATGGTGTGGGAAAGGCCAGACGACTGAGAAGTGTAAGTGTCCCTGTACGCTGAGTCCAAGTCGCAGTCCCCAAGGAGGGGCCGCCGGCTTTGTCCTTGCTATGCTCCCAAATGTTTTTGGGACTTACTGGAGGCAGGGAAAGAATGCTTGAAGTTCTGGTGACAGCAGCTGGGAAAACAGAATTATTGCCACGGCCCAGACAGCTTGGCCTAAACCAATAAAGATAACATTGAGCAGAGCCTAAGGCAAGCCTATATATAGACTGACGGGTAGGCAAAGAAGGCTGCCCTCGTCTTTCCTTCCTTTCTGCTTGGCTTATCTATAATTTCTTTCTCTTTTTCCTTCCTTTCTTCCTTCCTCCCTTCCTCCCTCCCTACCTCCCTGCCTCCCTTCCTCCCTTCCTTCCTTCCTTCCTTCCTTCCTTCCTTCCTTCCTTCCTTCCTTCCTTCCTCCCCCCTTCCCTCCCTTCCTCCCTGTTTTTGTTTTATTTTCTAGATAGATTTCTTTGTGTAGCCTTGCCTGTCTTGAAATTTAGCTTTGAAGACCAGATTGACCTCAAACTCACAGAGATCCATCTGCCTCTGCCTCCCAGGTGCTGAGGTTAAAGGCGTGGGCCACCACCACCTGGAGTGTTTATGTACGCTGTCTGAAGGTTTTTCTCTGGGCCTCAGTGAGAGTTGCAATAAAAAGATACTTAAAGAAACACCATCAGAAACCACCTCACAGTTTGTATGGCTGCCGGTTAGTATGTAGCAACTCGGAGAAAATGTCAGTGGGCCCAGAGTCGGCAGTGCGCTGTCTCCCCATTGGGAAGCATGTACAAGAAGGCAGGAGGTACAGAAAATTGAAGAATCTGAAAACAGCATTGGGGGAGGTCAGAAGAGGCTGAGGGTTGCCTCCGAATGAGGTGACAACTGGGCACAGGACTCAGGAAGACCACATGTACCCCAGATGCTGGTGCCCAGCCAAGGGCAAATGGGCGTGTGTAGAATGGGGCCGACTTGGAACCAGCAACAAAGACTAACAGTAAGGGCTGCTGTGCACTGAGCAGCTGGGAGTAGGGATCTCACCATCAGCATCCTAGTTGCCCTGGGCCAATATTGAGGCATAGTTTGGTGCCAGGCTGGGGCAGGGCAAGAAGGCATTTAGAGCAGACTCGGACACCAGCCACCTGGAGTCTCATGAGTGTGACTTCTTTCACCCATGTGAGCCCTCCCCCTCCCTCTTCTGCTACCCAACCGGCCTCCCCCTTGCTTCCCCTCACCGTGGGGATAAACTGGATTTCATAGGCATCCACAGGACCAGGAGCCCGGGTCCACTCTGTCCGGACCGTCGTCTCCTCCAGGAGATGCATCCTCATGTTCTGGATGGCTGGCACCTCTGCCCAGAGTAGAATAGGGAAACTGCTTAGCCTGGGGCAGAGCCATGGCACCCCAGTCACTCGAGCCCACACAGGGAAGTACATCTTAGGTTCCCACTGCCCAGACTCAGGTTGGGGAACACTGGAAAAGGCCCCAAACGGGCCTGGGTGCCCCTCAATTTCTCCCATGTTCTGTACATTAAAAAACTCCTTAAAGACAACCCTCTATCCAGAGAGCTAAAGGTCAGACTTCCCACTGGTGTGTGTTTATGGTTCCACTACCCCAGTGAACGGGGTCCTTCTGGCTGATACCCCCCCCACACACACACAATCTACAAGGAACAAGTCCTTCCATTCTTCCTCTAGGCCCCTAAGCCTCAGGCTTCTGCTGCCAGTATCCCAGTATGGGAGAAGGCACCTGACTCACCTTCCCCACAGTCGTCCCCAGCATAGCCTTCTTGACAGACGCATCTGCCCTGGAGACACTCTCCCCTGCCGCGACAGTCACCTGGGCATGTCTGGATGGCACAGTCTGGGCCTCGGAAGCCCTCGACACACACACATTGGCCTGCACGGCACAGTTCCCGTGGGCCACAGCCCCCGGGGCAGGCGCTGGCAGGAGGCTCTTCTTGCCCACAGTCCTCACCACTGTAGCCGGCGTAGCACAGGCACACACCCTGCACACAGCGCCCACGGCCACGACAATCAGCTGGGCAGGTGCGAGTGGCGCAGGCGGGGCCGGTGTAGCCTGGGTCGCACACACAGCGCCCATTCTCACAGCGGCCGCGCCGGTGGCAGTCGGCCGGGCAGGTACGGATGCTGCAGTCTTCGCCCGCGTAGCCTGTGTGGCACACGCACAAGCCATCCTGGCACACGCCCTGCTGGCTGCAGTCGCGCGGGCACCGTCTCACGCCACAGTCCTCGCCCGTGTAGCCATCATCGCACACGCAGAACCCGTCCAGGCACCGGCCGCGGCCCCTGCAGCCGCCGGGACAGCTGCGTGTGCTGCAGTCGTCACCCGTGTAGCCTACGTCGCACACGCACACACCGTCCTCGCAGTGGCCATGTCCGCGGCAGTCCCCAGGGCACCGACGGCTCCCGCAGTCCTCGCCAGTGAAGCCCACATTGCACACGCAGCGGCCGTCCACGCAGCGCCCGCGCCCGCGACAGTCACCAGGGCAGGCGCGTGTGCCGCAGTCCCGGCCTGTGTACCCGGGCCAGCACACACAACGGCCGTTTTCGCAGCTTCCCCGGCCGCGACAGTCCCCGGGGCAGCTGCGCACCCCGCAGTCCTCGCCGCTGTAGCCCGCGTGGCACACGCACACGCCATCCTCGCAGCGCCCTCGGCCCCTGCAGTCCCTCGGGCAGGCGCGCGCGCTGCAGTCCGCCCCTGTATACCCGGGCCAGCACACGCAGCGGCCGTCCTCGCAGTGGCCCCTTTGGTTGCAGTCCCCGGGGCAGCTCCGCACACCGCAGTCGTCGCCGCTGTAGCCCGCATCACAGATGCATTCCCCGTCCTCGCAGCGGCCACGGCCATGACAGTCACGCGGGCATGTCCGCGTGCTGCAGTCTTTGCCTGAGTACCCGGGCCAGCACACGCAGCGACCGTCCACGCAGCGCCCTCCCTCGCCGCAGTCCCATGGGCAGCTCCGCACGCCACAGTCTTCACCGCTGTAGCCGGGGTCACACACGCAGCGGCCGTCCTCACAGCGGCCCCTCTGGCTGCAGCCCCGAGGGCAGTTCCGCACCCCACAGTCCTCACCAGAGTAGCCGGGGTTGCAAATGCAGCGTCCGTTCTCGCATCGACCCTTCTGGTTGCAGTCCCGGGGACAGCTTCGCACCCCACAGTCCTCACCAGAGTAGCCAGGGTCACACACGCAGCGCCCTTCCTCGCAGCGTCCTCTCTGGTTGCAGTTGCGAGGGCAGGAACGCTGGCTGCAGTCGGGGCCTGAGAAGCCAGCACGACACACACACACACCCTGCACGCAGCGCCCGCGCCCCTGGCAATCTCCGGGGCAAGAAGGCCAGCCACAACTGGGGCCGCTGTAGCCGGGGAAGCACACGCAGCGGCCTCGGACGCAGCGACCCTGGTCATTGCAGTCGTCCGGACAGGTCTTGGAGGTTGAGGGCGGGGACGAGGTAGGCGTCCTAACGTCGGTGGGGTCTGAGCAGGTGGGTCCACCCCAGCCAGGCTCGCAGGAGCAGGCGCAGCGGCTCAGGTCGAAGACACCGTGGAGGCTGCAGAGGCTGCGCACGTCGGTCTGGCCTGGTGCGGGAAGGAGAAGGGAGACCCAGCTCGTATTAGCAGATGGCCAATAGCTTCAGAAGACCATTTTAGCTCCTAGTTGCGTAGCGTGTATGCCCTATTGGGAGTGTTTGGGTCGACTCTCCACGTTATAACCTTCGCTGCACCCGTCACCCCTAGGGAGCAGGAAGTGCCACATTTTCTCCTTTCTACCAAGATCCTTAATGTCACCCTAGGCACCTCTCCCATCCTGATCTTCTTCTCCCTTCTTATGTGCCCCGCCCCCATCGGGGCTCACCCGTGCCAGCCTGCGCAGCCGTGGGACAGCACCCTCCTGAGCAGTGTTCCTTGAGCCCCTTCACCAGCTCCTCCAGGATCTCCAGCCGGACCTTCAGGGCCTGCACCTCAGAAGCAGGCACCGGGGGTTCAGTGCCCGGGGGACAGCCACAGCCAGCGGAAGTGGGCAGGTTAATGCGGTGGGTGAATACCACCTGCTTCTCCCCTCCTTCCACAGTGTGCTCATACAGCTGAGAAGAAGGGCCCCCTGGCTGGGGAGGGGGCCGTGGGGCCGGGAGGGTCACATTGGACCGAGGAGAGAAAGGGCCTGCTCCGGCTCTGCCCAGCAGCACCAGGAGAGCAAGAACAGTCGTTAGGGCGCATCGAGCTGGCATCATTCAGGAAGCTGAAGAGAGAGAGGGCAAGCGTGAGAACTGACTCAGCTTGGAAGCAGTCACCAGCGCATCACCAGAGCCGGACTAGTAACAAACTCAGCTCTGGTGACGAGAATCTGAGCCTCAAGGGTAGCCTCTCTGGGCAGATCTGGTCTGAGACTTTCTAAGTCATTTGGCCACTCTGTCTTCCCTGCTTAACCGGTTTCTGGTTTGTTCCACAAGCTGGTCTTGTGTCTTCTGTATGTTTCTCTGTCTAGAATGCTCTTTCCTTGGCCCCACAGCTGACCTCTTACAGTTGTGCCTTTAATGGGCATAACTCCGGCCATCCTTATGTTGGACAGAGCAGCTTGTCCCCCTCCCCCATCACGATGGCCTGCTCACACTCCTCACGGTAGCATTTAGGGTGGCCTAGACATCTGTGTGGGTTTTGTGTTTTGTTTTTAACCTGTCCCCCACCACTAAAAGGGAGGTCCATGAGAACAGAGACCTCACCTGTCCTGGCTCGGCTGAATGTACTTGGCAGGAAACTGGTCGGATAAAAACTTCAGCCCACACACCTGTGCCGAGGGAGTCTCACAGATGAGGCCAAGGCCTCCCCAAGCACCTGGAGCCAGCCCCCCAGTGCCCACTGTCTGACAGACCGGCACAGGTGCGGGCACAGGTGCGGGCACAGGTGCAGGCACAGGTGCGGGCACAGGTGCGGGCACAGGTGCGGGGCTTCTTCAGCTCCTTGCTTCCCTCTTCTTTTTCTTCCTCTTTCTCTTCCTCCCCTCTTTGCCCTCCTCTTCCTTTTTCAACGCAGGTCTCCTGTAGTTCAGGCTAGCCTCAAATTTACTGTGTAGCCAAGGATGACCTGAACACTTGCTCCTCCTGTCTGTACCAGCATGAGCAGCAGACTCTACTCTGCTTGGCTCCCCCTGGAGTTACAGTCCTTTGCCCTCCATTAAATCCTTCCTGTTAGCCTTTAAAAAGAAATACGTTTATTTGTTTGTTTATGATGGGGAGCTGGGCATACCACAGGGTGCCTGTGGAGGTCAAAGAATGACTTTCCGGCATCCCTGGGATCTCACTTGTTCCTCAGGCTTGGCAGGCAGCTCTTTACCCACTAAGTCATCTCTCCAGCCAGCCTACTAATTTGTTTGTTACATTTTGTTTTTTTGAGACAGCGTTTCTCTATGTAACAGTCCTGGCTGTTCTGGAACTCGCTCTGTAGACCAGGCTGGCCTCAAACTCACAGAGATCCACCTGCCTCTGCCTCCAGAGTGCTGGGATTAAAGGTGTGTACCACCATGCCCGCTCATCTTTTAATTTTTTTATTCTTCGCTCATACATTACATTCCGATGGTAGCTCCCCTGCCCCCACTCCTCCCAGTTCCCTCCTCACCACCTCCCCTCTGCCCCAGAGCCATCCCTCCTCCATTGTCCTTCAGAAAAGAACAGGTCTCCTAGGGATATCATCAGCTGAACACAACATAACAAGTTGCAATATGACTAAACCCTCATATCAAGGCTGGACAAGGCAACCCAGTAGAAGGAAAAAAAAGTCTCAAAAGTATTGCCTCTTAATTTTTTTTAATGAGCTCAAATATCTCCAATTTAATATCTTCCTCAGAACTGCCAAATATCAAGATTTACAAAAATGCCAGGGCACACAGGTGGAGTAGGACTCTGGAAAAGACCCATGTGTATGTGGTCATTGATGAATAACTAAGATTATTATAAGTGGCAATTAAAAAAGAGAAAGGGTGGGGCTGGAGAGATGGGTGGGGCTGGAGAGGTGGGTGGGGCTTAAGAGCACTTATCACTCTTCCAAAGTACCTGGGCTGGGTTCAGTTCCAAGCACCCACGTGGTGGCTCATAACCCTCTCTAACTCCAGTTCTAGGGGGTCTGATGCCCTCTTCTGGCCTCTATAGGCACTGCACACAACTGGTTCACAGACAAGCAGGTAAAACACTAGTACATATGAAGATAAATAATAACTAAATCAAAAAAATAAATAATGTTGCATCAGTTAAAGAACCATACAGGAAAACAGGAAGAATTGGTCCCCACCTTATATCCAAATATAGAAAATGCTGTGGCCAGGGATCACAGTCCTAAATACAAGAGGGAAAGCAAAGGTTCCCATAGCAACATAGAAGAAAACATGGGAAGAGACCTTTATGATTGGAGTAAGTGAAAATTGCTTAAGTGAGGCACACAAAACCTAACCACAGAAAAACGAACACAGTGGGCCTTGTTGGAAGTGATAACTTCACTCCCTGACTTGTGTCCTCTGTGCTGAGAATGGAGCATGCTGGGCAGAGGCTCCACCACGGACTTGTGTGTCTCGCTCAAGAATTGAAAACATCTGGTCATCAAATGACATCAGTAAGAAAATAAGACAATTCACAGACTGGGAGAAGCAAGTGAGGCAAACATGAAGGCGAGAGCAAGCGAGAGAGAGAGAGAGAGAGAGAGAGAGAGAGAGAGAGAGAGAGAGAGAAGGCGCTACAGCGCATGCCTGTAAGTGCAGCGCTGAGGAGATGGGGCAATGTGGAACTCTGGCCTCCACATGTGTATTCACGCACACAAACATACACACGTGTATACCATTTAAGAGTGTGTGCTACTCTTGCAGAAAATCTGAATTAAGTTCCCAGCATCTGTGTTGGGCAGCTCACAACTGCCTGTAACTCCAGCTCTAGGGGTCAGATGTTCTCTTCTGAACTCTGGGCAACTGCATTCATGTGCACACAACACACACACAACTGAAAACTAAATCTGAAATTTTAACTACAAACAAATAAACCTGGGTCCTCTGCAAGAGCAGTCATTGTAACCAGGTGGTGGTGGGGCACGCCTTTAACCCAAGCACTCAGGTGGATCTCTGTGAGTTTGAATTCATCCTGGTCTACAGAGCAAATTCTAGTACAGGCTCCAGCCTGGTCTACAGAGCAAAATTGCTAGAACTCTAGGATAGGCTCCAAAGCTACAGAGGGAAACCCTGTCTCAAAAAAACATAACAAGCAAAAAAAAAAAAAAAAAAAACCATTGTTTCTAACCACTGAGTGTTTTTTGGTTTTGTTCTGTTTCTTTGCCTAAACTGTTGTCATTTTGATAAAGGATCCCAGATGTCTGATTCTCCTGCCTCAGTCTCTCAAATTTTGGGATGACAGGCACACACCACCACACACCACTGGCTGTTAACAGCTTTGTTTACATTAACTGAAAAGCAACTCAGCTGGATAAATGACAGGAGAGGGAGAGACAGAACAGCATATTATGCTACACATGACATGAATGAATTTCATGCATGTGCCAAGCAGACGCAGAAAGACAATGGCCTAAGTGCTATTATTTATGGGAGGCCTATGAACAGGCGGAGCTAAACTGTGCTCTTAGGAGACAGGAAGTGATTACACTTGGGGCTACTACAGACTGGAGGAGGCACGGGGCGATTCCTGGGACGTCCTGTACCTTCATCTGCACTGGGCTAAACAGATGTATGTACAGCTCACTGAACTCTACACGTAGGATCTGTGTGTCAGTGTCTGAGAATTATACCCTGTGATTAAAAACAAATCCTTGCCCCACATCGCAGGCCTCCAGCCACCACACTTAACTACTTTTTCCAGCCCCATTTCCCTATTCCGCACACACGCCTCAATCCACTCCAACTGGCTTCCCCACCGTAGTCACTATCTCTAACCAACACCCCCTGTGGTCTCCCACCAAATCTAAGGGATGTCTGTCTTCATCTTCCTCAACGGCTCTCAAAATCAATGATAAAGCCGGGGCAGTGGTGGCGCATACCTTTAATCCCAGCACTTGAGAGGCAGAGGCAGGCGGATCTCTGTGAGTTAGGGGCCAGCCTGGTCTACAAGAGCTAGTTCCAGGACAGGTTCCAAAGCTACAGAGAAACCCTGTCTCGAAAAACAACAACAACAACAAAAATCAATTTAAGTTAGCCGTGTCTCCCATTTTGAAGCAGTCTGTGATGTCCAATATTCCACCCATGGCTCCTTCCACAGTGGGGAGCCGGGAATTGAACTCAGGTCATCTGGCTTGGCAGCAGGCACCTTGACCCACAGAGTCACCTTCACCGTACACCCCCCACTGTTCTTCTTACGTACTTTAGTCTCCCTGCTCCTCACTAAACCTCTGTATCCACAGTCGCCCCTCTGTGGAGCAGGCTTGCTCCTCAATCCAGGCTTCAGGTCTCCAGCCCACGTCACCCAGAGAGGCTGAGGCCCCATCATGATATCCATGCAGTTCTTGCTGATACTGTTTATGATGGTTTGTGAGCTTGTATAGGAAGGACTCTCAAGCTCGAGATGACAGAGGGTGCTACCATTTCTCTCTTTGTTTTACTGGCTGCTCTGTCTTGCATTCAGCACAGCCAGTGTGCTCAGTAAACATTTATTGACTTTAATAATGACAGTAAAATTCAGTGTAAGCCCAGGACGAGCTCTAAGGCTGGAGTGAAGAACAGGACCAAGGTCAGGGCTAGGACCACGGACAGTGTCTGGGCCTGGAAGTCTGGTAGCAACAGTAGCTGTGCTGAAGAGTCAACGACCAGGAGGAGAGGACTGGATGGCACAAGCATTTGGAAAACAGGCAGAACATACACTGTGCAATAAAACTGAACATATACAGAGCTGCTGAGCCCACAGTGACTCCCAGGAACACAACAACATGGCAGAACCTGACAGGGCAGCCCCGAGGGGAACCACCAAAAACAACAACACAGCAGAACCAGACACAGCAGCCCCGAGGGGAACCACCAAATACAACAACATGGCAAAACCAGAGACAACAGCCCCAAGGGGAACCACCAAAGCATCTATCAGCTCTTATTGAATTAACTGTGGCTTATTCACACTGTGGAATAAAAATTCATGAGGACTTAAAGGCCAGCCTGCTCTACAAGAACTAGTTCCTGGACAGCTAGGACTGTTACACAGAGAAACCCTGTCTTGAAAAATAAAAACAAAACAAAAACAAAGACAAACAAACAAAGAAAAACCAAAACAAAGTGGGATCCTATGGATGGCTCCTAATGGAACAAGGCCAGAGAAGAAAGGTGCTGGGAATCTCTAAGGAAGTCTGAGTGGGTGCAGTCGGCCACACCTGAGACCCCAGCACTTGGGAGGCGGAGGCAGGTGGTTCTCTGTGAGCTGCAGACGGAAGTGGGTAGGAGAAAGTCTCATTTTTCACATTTTACTACAACTGTCCATTTCGCGTGGACCTGACACGTCACAGTCGCAATGGAGGCCTGCCCCTGGAAGGACAACTTCTGGGAGGCCCTTCTCCCCATTCACCACAGGGGCTCCAGGAACTGGGCTCACATCATCGGGTCTGGCAGCAGAGCCTTTGCCTGCGGAGCATCTTGCTGGCCCTTGAAGATGTTTGTGTACTCATCCACCTACATTTTTATTAGTTTTATTGTGATAGGATCAAACCCAGAGTTTTGCATTTCTAGGCAAATGTTCCGCCTCTGAGCACTTCCTGTGGAAACGGAAAAACCCAAACTGAGGGGGTAGGGTTTGGATCAGGAGGGGGTAGGGTTTGGATCAGGAGGGGGTAGGGTTTAGACTCAGGAGGGGGTAGTGTTTGGATCAGGAGGGGGTAGGGTTTAGACTCAGGGTTCCTCATTTCTTCATCCGGGTCTTTATCTGGATGTGGCTGTGGGCTCCCTACAAGTGGAGAGACAATTTGAGAAGAAAGAATGAGGCAGGGAGCAGGACGAGGCAGGGTGGGTTCCAACTGCTGAGAAAGTTGAGCGATGCTGGCAGGTGCCCAGCGTCTAGAGCAGAGAGGCCAGGAGAGCAGGGCAGCCTGAGCACTGGGAATGTTGACCGGCCAGGAAGGAAGGGCTGTAACACCTCTCTCCCAACAGACACATTTCCTAGCTTCAGGGCCACCAGACACAACGCTCCCTGACTGGTACTGAGAGACAGAAAGGGGCTGCTCCGTTGGTGGGGTGCCCACCTAGCACAGCTCTAAGTTTGATCCCCCAAATCACATATACCAGGTGTGGCGGCCCATGTCTGAAATCTCAGTACTTGGGAGGTCGAGGCAGGACCAACAGGCCAGGGCCAGCCTCCACTACATAGAAACTTTAAGAATAGCCTAGGTTCTGTAATACCCCATCTCAAGGAGTAAAATAAAATAAAGAGACAGGAGAGCCAGGAAGAGGTTCTTTCCATGGGAAGTGCCTGGTCCTGGCAGAAGGCCATGAGGCAGGGCTGCCCTTCCTTGACAGCAAAGCCCTTAGTGGGAGGGGGTTCTGGCCTGCCTGTCACTCTGTGCCGAGACAGAAAATCACTCCTGCGCCAACTGTGGGGTGCATGTGCGCGCGCACACACACACAAATACACGGCATAGGCAAATACAACCCCTGCATTTGTCTGCAGACACAGATACGCGTGCACCTGTACATGAACCCTCATATCAACACAAATAAGGCAGCATTTTTTCCCCGATGTGTGAGCCCCTCAGGGTTGCTGCATACCTGGCCCCTGGGGGATGCCTAAGAAAGTGGATTACACTGGCGGAGAGGGCAGCTGAGTCGGACAACTGAGCTGTAGTGGGAACAGCACAAGCGGCTGCTCTGTAAGTGGGGGGCGGAGGGTATATACTTCCCACTTGCTTCCTCGCATCCCTGGGCCCTCTAGTTGACCAGTCTCTTCATGAAACTGGATCCTACTTCACACTCACATAGGTGATGGGGCGGGGGGGAGAGGGTCTCTGCAGCAGGAGAACATACAGAAACCCCACTGGCTTCTGCAGAAAGGCTGCTGAGGTTGGTCTAGAAGAGAGGTGTGACCCTCAGAGACCATGCCCCACGGTCCCTTTCCCAGACCCTCCCCTCCCCTCTCCTGTCACCATGTGAGCTCTCCTGTTTCCCATCCCAACGCTTGGAAAATTCTGACCCTTCTCTTGGCACTGGGCAAGCAGAGATTTGGGTGTTTCTTGTGTCTTCCTCTTTGACTCTCTGAAATATGTTGGGGGGCTGGCCGCACCCTCTCTGCATCCTACTATACTTGGAGGACTGGCAGGGTGGGGGCGTCTTCCCAAACTGTGACTCAGTACCCTTGGTATTCAGTGTGTGGCCAACTTTGACACTTTATTCACTGGGGACCATTGGTCCTCCTGGGTGGGAGAGGGACAGACTTCCATGAGGGCTGATCCAGGGATGGGGTCTGGTTCCACTCCAATGTCACATCAACTCCCCCTGCCAGCCCCACTCCCAGCGAAGTCCAACAGGGAGAGGTGAAAACAGGGAGTCTCAGATACTGGGCTGAGACAGGTTGAAAAGGGGGTGCCAGTAAGAAGAGCTGGGGATCCAGGTACCTCTTGTTTTGGGAGGAAGCAGATGGGCCATGGGAAAATTAAGAGAAAGGATTTCCAGACCCCCAGTGGAAAAGGTCAGGGGGAAAGTGAGAGACAGGAAGATGGGTTCTGGTTCTTGCACCAATGGCCAGGGCTTGAATGGAAGAAAGTGTGACTAATGGAGGTGCTGGGTCTCCAGGGGTTGGAGGTAGCCAGGGACAGCAGGAGGGAGGGGCTGAGATCCGGGAAGCAGGGGCAGGGCCGCAACAGCTGCTGTTTCCTAGTTGCTTCCCAGTAGTTCCCCTCAGTTCCACTTCCAGTTGTTTCTAAGCCATTAAATTCTTTCCAGGCGAGATAAGAGGCCCCGCCCGCCCCACCCGAGGCCTGTCACGTGTATTGGGGAGTGGGTGGGAAGACTCAGGCACACAGAAGCAGGGAGCCTGGAAGGGGGACCGAATGAAGACACAGCCCTGTGCCCTGTGGGGACATCACTCAGCCGCTGCAGGCTCGCTGAACCGTGAGTCATGGGTGCAGAGAACTCGCCAAGAACAAGTTACTGGATCGTCTCTGCAAGCTCTGAGCCCTTCCCATGCCCACGAGTCTTCTCTGTCCCATTTCAGCACTTCCGAAAGCCCTGCACCTCCCCAGACCTTGTTCTCAGCCCCTGTTACTCCGCACGCGATTACTTGAAAAATCCCCATTCTGCACAGCTTCCTCTGCCCCATCCCGACACCAGGCTCAGCAACTCCAGCTCTAGCATTCAAAACCTACAGTGCTTTCTTTCCTCCCAGTGTGCAGCTGGACAGCTCAGCCCAGCCTGGTCCTCCTTGCAGCCCCTGCCTCCTGATCAACTGTACCCTCCTGACTCCGGGAGTCCCACAGTTCCCAGGCCCTCTCAGGTATCGGCATCCCCTCCAAACCTTGGTGCATGCAACACACACCGCATTCTGCCTTAGTCTCCTGAACACCCCTCCAGAGTCTGCCTGCATTTTCTCTGAGCTGAGCAGAAAGCCCCTGTCCTGGCAGGCACTCCTGCAACTCTTGCGACTGTGGAGCAGCTCAGAGGGAAACCCTTCACTGCTCACCACTCCTCTGGTCTTCCCAGAGCTCTGTTACTTACCTGGAGAGCGTGGTGGCTTGTGGTGGCTGCTACACCTCTGAACCTGCTCAGTCCCGACCCCAATAAAGGAAGTGTCTCAGGCAGGGTAAGCAGCCCTCAGCAGCCCTGGACTCTTGGGGGGACCCTTCCCTTGTCCCTTGCAGCAGAGCCAGTACCAGGACTGTGGATCTCACAGCCGTGACAGAAAAGCAGGGAGCCCGCAATGAGCAGGGGGAGGAGAAGGGGAGGGCCAGCATGAGGTCAGGGAGGGGAGCGGAGATAGGGCAGGTCTTCCTACCCCTCCGGCCCCTCCCACCAGCCCCCTCCCTGTCCAGGACCAGAGTCATCTCCCCTGTACCCTCACCTCAACCTCTCTGTCCCTTATTTTACCCCCATGCCCTTTCCTACTTCACTTTTAACCTTCTCCCCACGGCAGTTTCTGAGCAACCTGGCATTCTACCTGGCATTCTCCGTTATTCTCTCCCCACCTTTGGCCCCTTCCTTTAGCCCATTTCCCCTCTCTGCCAGCACCATTCCTCACGGTCTCCATCCCTACCGCCAAGCCCCCTAACCCTCCTTCTTAGCTGCTGCTATGAGCTGGATCTCACCCCATTTGTTGCTCAGCACCTCTTTATTTATCCCTAAACTCCCCTTTGGTTGTGCTGTGCAGGGAGCAAAGGTGGGGATGAGAGGCAACTGCACACACTCAAGCTTGAACCTCTCCAATGTAAGATCATTTCTGGGGCTCCTTGTCCCATTCTTGGGGCTCCTGACTGCACCCCTCCCTCACTCCTTCCTGTAACCCCTCCTCCCCTCTCCTGCTTCCTCCACTGACTTGGACTTGAGCAGCCCTTTGCTGCCCATTCTGCCCAGCCCCTCTCTGATTCCCAGCTCGGCATCTCTGCCCTGTTTTCACTGCCCCAACTCAGCAAATTCCTAGAGGATAGCAAGTGAGACTTGGGCACTGGCTGGGGCAAAGGCTTGGCTGAACGCCAGGACATCCAAGGACTACTTGGGAAAGTAGTAGTTGGGTGTGTGGAGATTAGGAAGGAACGGTAGGTCGAGAGGTTGGTATGGGGCAAGCAAGCAGCCAGAGCCGGCAACTGACAGGTGGTGTTTAGCCAAAGGCTGCCCCAACAAGGTGCTGATGGAGATTTTCCCCAGGAGTATCAAAGGGAACCCCCCCCCTCGCCCCAGGTTCTATGCTGAGGACACAGCTGTCTCTACTCCACTGCAACTTTATCATTAAGGCTCACACACATCTCAGCCAGGTCAGGTGATGGCGAGGGGACTTGAAGGGGTCCACATGCGTCTGGTGTCGCATGCCGGCTGTGGCACAAGTGTCTGCATCACAAGTCACACCTCCAGTCACAGGTATGCCTGAGAGGAAGCAGGTTGGCACAGCACGAGCCTGTGGCCACTGCCACCAGCCCCATGTGGCCGAGAGCATCAGTACACGAGCTCCCTCACGGGTGGACCCGTGTGTCCCTGGGCCGGGGCGTGTGTGTTTTTCTACTGGCTTTGATGGGAAGATGAAGTCAGTCTGTGGGATAAGAGCTGGGCTTAGCTTCCTTCCTCTGCCTTGGCCAGAGTCCCCCAGAGCCATGAGTAGGTGATGGTCCTCAGGTCTCCCAGGGAAGTGGGGGGCAGCAGATGAAAAGATGAGGGGTCTTCAAATTGTGTTATGGGGAGAACAGGTGGCAGCTGAGCTCTTAATAGCACTGAATTTGAGTTAAGCACAAGCAAAGGCCCATCTAGTCTTCCCTAGGTCCTGTTCCACACCTCTATTATTTGGGAAGTAGGGTCCCCATAAGTACAGTTGACCATGTAGGTGGCCAGGGGCCAGGAGGCGATGGCTTGGGGGCTGGATGCTGGCGTCTTGGCACAGGAAGGCAGGGCTCCAGTTTATGAGCTTCCAGGAAATGGACTGGAGGCAGATACAGCTGCAGGTTTGAAATCGTGGTTGTCTAGGACCACTTCCTCCTGGATCCCAGGCCCCTGGGGAAGTCTGTTGTTTCGCAGTTAGGAGTGAAGGTCAACTCTGAACCCCGGGGACTGGGGGAGAGAGCCAGGGAAGCCAAGAGCCAGAGCGGGAATGGCTCCAATAAGGTGTCCTGCGGGGCCCGCAAGGTCATGGTGCTGTCTAGAACAAGCGCGTGTTAGCTGTTCCCAGGATCCTGAGTCCAGGGGTCGTTGGCTCTGAGCCACATGTCCTTGAATGACCCTCAAAGTCCGAAGTCAGAGAAGAGGAGAGAGAGAACAAGAAGACAAGGGCAAGTGAGGGCGACTGAGGGCAGAGCCTGAAGGCAAAGAGAGGCCAGAGGTGACCCGAGGAAGTGTCCCAGAGAGGCAAGGGCAGGAAACAACCTGGCTTCTGTACACAGCAGCTAAGCACAGGGCGGGCTCGGGGGTGCTGATCAGCTCTGCTAGGAATGGAGTCAGAGACCACCCTCTCCCTCAAGGTTCTGAGAAGGAATGGTGAAGAACTCGGACTTTTGAAAGGTCTTCTTCTGCCCTCTTACCATGCAGACTCAGTGAGAAGAAACTGCCTGGGATGGGGGTGGTCACCACGCACGGTGGGGAGCTCAGTGGTACAGGGCGAGGATAGGCAACCCGGGAAGAGAAGAGCTCCAGAGGTTGGGAGAAGTACAAAGCCAGGGAGCAAGGGTCTGGAGACACGGGTGTGGAGAGACGGGAGGGAGGACATTGCTATCTCGTGACAAAAGAAAGTCACACGATTGTTTTGCTCTCTGCTCTGGAGCGGGTGGGCGCCTGTATTTACCAGAGGGACTGAGGTCGCTGTGGCAACCACACATCTGGGCCCCGGGATCCAGATGTGCTGTATCCAGAAGCCATAGCAGAATGATGAGGCAAACACTAGGCTCCCCAGTCCTGGCCCCCGCAGCCTGGAGTGAAGAGCAGAGAGGAAGGAGAGCAAGGAGAAAAGAAGTGCCAGGATGGGGACGGGACAAGGAGTGCTGACCGCCTAGGGGAGGACACAGAAGGGGGCAGCTGGACAGGGCCAACAGTGGTGATGTGAAGACCATGGGGCAAGACAAGGAGGCAGAGGAACTGAGGAAAACGAGGTGGGCTAAGGAGTCAAGCAGAACACTTGAGTGGGGCAGAGGAGGAAGGCAGGCACAGGAGAAAGAGATGGCAGGGGCGGGATGACAGCCGGGGATGAAGACTGCGAAGGACCGACCAGCAAAGAGCAGAACAGGAAGCGGTGAGCCTTCGACATCAAAGTCCTGCTTAGGTCCAGAGCGACAGCGGTGAAGTGGCATTGGAGAGCCCAGGTGGGCAGAAGGAAGGAAGCTCACGCTGGCCTGCAGGGCAGCAGCTACGTCCGTTCCCACCTGCTGTCCTGCAGCCCAGTCTCCCACTCTCCTGGGTCTCCCAGGACGAGCCTGAGGGCCCCAGTCTCCCACCACTCGCGAGGTCTCGGGTGGAACACTCCAGGCTTGGAGCAACTTCCCACCCAGGAGCAAGCAGCAGACCCAGGACTGAGGCAGTGCCCACCCCAGCACAAGTGCCAGGTTCCGCAGCACCCCCTTGAAAAGCAGAGAGGCGGGTCACAGCTCACAGAGGGCCATCAGCTAATTCAAAGCCCACGAAGGGGCCCAGGACCAGGTCATCTGTTTCCCTTACAGCCTGGATAAGGTGCTCAAGGGATCCTGGAACAGGAAGTGGCTGTGGACCAGGGTTGCCCTCTGGAGGGAGGAAAGGCTGAGTTCCTGGGCGCCCTAGTTCCAGGTTTCCATAGTTCCCTGGTCTGTTTTCACTCCAAACACAGTAGGGGTGGGTAAAAGGAGCGGGGAGAGCCTGGCTAGACACGTGAGGCTCTTCCTCCCTCCTTCAGGGCTAGGCTTATAGCCAGACAGCCCCTGTCCAGTCATCTGGGCCTGGAGCCCAGGTCCAGCTCACACCCTCCAGCTGACCCAGGCCACTCCTGTAGGGTCAGGCCAAGGCGCTGCTGGGTGGGAGCAACTGCAGGGGACCCGGCAGCCAGGCAGACTGGCCCCCTCATCCGATCCCTTCCTTCCACTCAGAGCACACAGCCTTTCCACCTACCCATTCCTGTCTTCTCCATCTGGACCCTCCCTCAGGTCTGTCTCCCTCAGTTCAGGGCCAAGAGGATGTCCCATGACATGCCCCCTTCTCCCTACCAGGCCCCTCCACTGTGATCCCGCCTTCCTGGGCTCCAGGCCCTCTGGCCCCCACGCCTGTTGTTTGTGTGGACAGCTCATCCTGGAAAGCAGGGGGGACCTGTGGTAGAACAAGGACTGGAGCTGCTGTGTGCCCCGAAGGGCGTGGGGCCCCCTGTCTTTCCTGTTTACTCAGACACATTCCGGTGATCTGTATATCGGCTGCCACGCCAACACCACAGACATCATTGCTAGACACAGACATACCCTAGGAGTTGCGGGGTGGGGCAGGGGATGACATGAGGTCTGATTCCACCCCACTCCGCCACCAGTGACCTCTGTAGTGCATGATTCTTTGATGCTGGTCCTACAGGAGTCGCACGCTGGGAAGGCAGTCACCATTCCTTAACTCCCTCTGAGTTTTATTTAATAATAATAAAAAAAGATACACACACACACGCAAACCGACTCCCACCACCCAAGAACATCCCTTGTCCCACCTGGGGACCAAAGTCCCATGTCTACTCCTGAAATGGAAAACGAAAGAACAAAGAGGCTATGGTAGCTACCCAGCCCTAAACTGAACCTTAGGCAGTGCCCTCAGGGAAAGAGGGGGACTGGGGGTTTGCAGGAACGAGAGGAGCCCTATATTCTGAAAAGAGGTGAGGAGAGGTGAACCACCCGTCCTCCTCCCATTAAGTGCTTACTCCCCACACCCTGCCCTCCCTTACCAACTGCCCCAAGTCCCGGGATCAGGTTCTAAGCCAGTGTGAGCTGCAGAGGTCAGGGGTGGTTGAGGTAGAGGGGCTGGTGGGAGGCCTGACTGGCTGCAGAAGCTGGTAAAGGGCCACCTGTGGTATTGCCTGGGGTTGGGGACGGCTGCTTTCGGAGCGAGGGGGGCACCGTGGAGGTCTTGATGTGAATCACCCTGGTGTCCATGACCTCACACTCGATCTGCATCATCTCCTCATAGTCCCCTGGGGGGCTCCGGCCTGAAACAGTCTCTGTGGAAGGGGAGGCGGCCGGTGGTGGAGGGGGTGAGATGGGGAGGGGGG